TTGCTTGGTAAAGTAGAGGGTCAGTGAAAAAGAGGAAGACCCTCAACAAGATGGCACAGGACCGGGCAGTGTTTTGTTCTGCTGTACACAGGGTCACTATGAGTCGGAACTGACTCATCAGCACCTAACATCATCCTGGATGAGATCTTGGAGCAGAAAAAACGACATTAGGGGAAAACTAGTGCAATCTGAATAAAATGTGGAGTTTGGTTAATAGTAAAGTACCAATGTTGTGCGAAGTCCTTAGTTGTGACAAATGTATCATAGTAATGTAAGATGTTTACAATAGAGAAGACTGGGTTAGGAGTATACAGAAACTCTGCACTTCATTTGCTGTTTTTGTGTAAATTTAACACTATTCTAAGATTAAAAGTTTATTTAAAACAAAACAAAAGTAAGGACATAGAAGCCAGCTTGAAGGGCTCCCACTGGCCAAACCTAAAACAATTTCTGTATCAAAATAATGATACGAGTGTATTATAACTCGTGAATAGAAAGCATACTGATATATATATAAATGAATAAATGGGAAAAAACACTTAGCAGGAATGGTGGAATTAGAAACATCTCTATTTGACAACCATCATCACTATTCATTTGGTGAAAAACATCAAATGACACTAAAATTAGTGGGTGAAAGTTAATAAGGATGGGATACTTATTAACTTTCAAAGTACCTCCCTCAAAAATCTTATTAATTACAAAGGAAAAAACACACTAGCTTTACAGTGGAGAAACCAGCCAGACATCACCTTACTCAAATGATCAAAGTCAACATGACCAGTAATGGGACAAACTGAATCAGGTACCGCCTGATAAGATGGGCTGTAAAGAACATAGCATCACAGATGTGATGTTCCTGCAAAAAAATACATTACTAGAATTTGATCATGAGGAAATACCAGACATATCCAAATTGATTTGTAATCTTCAAAAGTGTCAGTCATGAAAGTAAAGACTAAGGAACTGTTCCAGGTTGAAAGAGATTAAAGAGATATGACAACTAAATATTCCTGGATTGGATCCTTTTCCTAAAAAGGACATTACTGGAACAACTGGAAAAATTTGAATGGAATCTGTGGATTATATGGTAGTAATGAGTCAATGTTAATTTCTGATTTTGACTTTGTATTGTGGTTTTATGGAGCCCTGGTGTCACAGTGGTTAAGCATTCGGCTACTAACCAAAAGGCTGGCAGTTTGAAACCACCAGCCACTCCTTGGAAACCCTACGAGGCAGTTCTACTCTGTCCTATAGGGTTGCTATGAGTTGGTATCAACTCGAAGGCACACAACAACTACTTTATATCAGCAACTAGTATTTTACCAAACAACTGGGCACCATAGGCTACCAAGTTGACACATAAGATTAACCATCACAACTCTGTAGAAGGAATACATTTTCTAATACATCACAGAACCCATGCCCTCACATATAACTGAAACAAAAGGTTTTACAAACATATACCTCCCTTATTCATTTGAACTGCACTCTGATATTTTCTATTTTGTTATAAAATTCTACTTAGACTGAACAAAATTGATTTAACAATCTGCTAATCTTCTGTTCCTAACCTATGGTCCTGGAGGTCTAGGAATGCTCTAACTGTATTCACAATGTTGTATATGAATATGCATATTTTTCTAGGAAAAGGCTCCATGTTCTTCATTAGATTTTCAAAAGCATATATGACTGTCCAAAACATTAAAAACCACTGAAATAATAGGGAGTCCTCTGATATATTAGGCTGGTCTGGCAGTGCCATAATTCTGGGAATGACCAAACTTGATGTTCCTGTTGTTACCTGTCATCGAGCAGGTTCCAACTCATAGCGAGTCTATGTACAACAGAATGAAACACTGCCTGGTCCTGCGCCATCTTCACAATCATTGCTATGTTTGAGCCCATTGTTACAGCCACTGTGTCAATCCAACTTCTTCAGGTCTTCCTCTTTTTTGCTGACCCTTTACTTTACCAAGCATGATGTCCTTCTCCAGGAACTGGTGTCTCCTGATAACATGTCCAAAGAAGTGTCACCATCCTCGCATCCAAGGAGGACTCTGGCTGTACTTCTTCCAAGACAGACTTGTTCATTCTTCTGGCAGTCCATGGTATATTCAATATTCTTTGCCAACATCATAATTCAAAGGTATCAATTCTTCTTTGGTCTTCCTTATTATCCAGTTTTGCTGCATATGACGCGAGTGAAAATACCATGGCTTGGGTCAGGCACATCTTAATCCTCAAAGTGGCATTTTTGCTTTTCAACACTTTAAAGAGGTCTTTTGCAGCAGATTTGCCCAATGCAATACATTATTTGATTTCTTGACTGCTGCTTCCATGAGCGTTGATTGTGGATCCAAGTAAAATGAAATCCTTGAAAACATCGATCTGTTCTCCATTTATCATGATGTTGCTTACTGGTCCAGTTGTGAGGATTTCTGTTTTCTTTATGTTGAGGTGTAATCCATACACCATGTAGTCTTTCTTTTATTTTCATCAGTTAAGTGTTTCAAGTCCTCTTCACTGTCAGCAAGCAAGGTTGTGTCATCTGCATATCACAGGCTGCTAATGAGTCTTCCTCCAATCCTGATGCCCTGTTCTTTTCCAAATAGTCCAGCTTCTCAGATTATTTGCTCAACATAGAAATTTAATAAGTATGGTGAAAGGATACAACCCTGACGCACACCTTTCCTGACTTTAAATCATGTAGTATCCCCTTGTTCTGTTCAAACGACTGCCTCTTGGTCTATGTACAAGTTCTGCATGAGCACAATTAAGTGTTCTGGAATTCCCAGTCTTCGCAATAAACTTGATGATAGTAATTCAAATTGATTTAGGAGAAGACATTCTAGTTGAGTCTGGGCTAATAATAGGGTTGGATTAACAGAAGGTTAACAGCTAACAGTCAAGATCAGTGAGGAAGATACCAATTATAAAGATTTGCTTAAAAAATTTGTTAGAAATCAGCTGTTTTAACAAAGAATTATAATAAAATTTGATTCTTAAAATGGGGAGTGAAAAAATATATTAGGTTTCATCTATCTAACCAGCTAACCACGCCTCCATCTTAGTCTTGATAGAGTAAAGCACAAGGTCTTGACATCTGTGGCCATGACCCCTGTCACTCTTCACCTGGCTATCTCCCATTTACCCTTAAAAGTTCAGCTTGGGCCTCATTTCCTCCAAAAGCCTTCCTCCCTCCATGCCAGGCTAAACTCACTACAAGGACTCTCCCTCGCTCTTCTGTAACATCCAATGCACAGTGCTATTAGATATTTATCTTGTTATAATGAGATTTTCTTGTCACATCCCATCTTTCCATTAGACTATAAGCTCCCTGAAGGTAGGCTGAACTACTGAGGTCTTAATCCAGATCACCAAAAATTAACATAATGCCTGGTACGCAGTAAGAGTGTCAGTACCGCTACTGATAGAGTAAATTATGTCAAATTCCTTCAGTAAAAAACTTCAATGAAGTTAAATCTGTTCACTGGACACATCAAAATTATCTAAAGTCCTTTTTCTTTAAAAACGCAGTCTATACTTCAAAAAAATATTAGTACTTTACTATTATAGGAACTTGTTATATATTAGAGGTAGAAAAATACTCCAAGAATGCAACAGTGTGGACCTCAGGCAGGTTAGGAGTCCTGGTGAATGGCTATTGTTTTAAATATTGGTTGATGATGATTGGACCCGCATAGAGTGATCTTTTGAAGGAACTGAAGGCGGTGGTAGTGTAGGAAGGTTGGGGGAAAGGTTCCAGAAAATTCCAGTAGTTTCTTCTATAAAAAAAGTATCATTAATAAAATTCACCCAATATCAATTTGAGTGCATATATTCCCCTTTTCAAGGATCAACACATTCCTATTTTATACTTTTGGTACAAAATAAAGCATATTTTTGAATACCAAAAATTTTGGTAGGGTAAAAAAAAAGTTTAAATATTCATAAATGCCTCCCCCATATATGCTTTTATTTTTTAAAGGAGAGATATGGCAGACAGAAAGAAAATAGTCTGAGACTTTCTTCCAGCTTTTATGTTTCAAAAGTTGAGGTTTCACTCTACTTTGGTAATTTTTTTTCAACCTGACGTGGTAGGACAGGGCAGGGAGAGGAAAGATAAAAGGATGAAGATAAATGAAAGGTTTTGGTTGAGAAAAGACATACCTTAACTGAAAATCAGTCCTTTAACAAGAAGGTAGCAACAGCACATACTTAAGAATGAATGCAAATGAGACAATGAGAGAAGAAGGTGGCACCTGCCAAGCCAGCCAGATACCCCTCAGCATATACACTTGAATAAACATGGGATCAGGCTGTAGGAATGTCTGGACAACAGAATGAATGAATGAGAGGTCACCAAGGGAATGATATCCGCTGGGGCCCCAACAACACCCAGGTGTGTCATCAACTGGAAAGCTCAAGACATTCTGTTCTGACCACTTGAGGCAAATAGCCTAACCTACCTCAATGATGTCACAGATACAGCCTTCTAGAAAAGTCTGGGGTTGGGGAGGGGTGGTAAAACCATTACGAATTGTCATGCACACTCAGGCACTTAGAAAATATTTACTTAGACAGTATTCCTTATAGGTGAAAAAAGATAAGGTTTCTTATACAAAGTCACAGAAGGAGTGGCAGGGCTGGGCCAGCATCACCTCAGCCTGGGACCCCAGCATCCAGAAGCCAGAATGAAACCAGGTCCATTACCAGCTCCTATGGCAGCAGGGTTCTAGCCCTCAGTACCATTCAGACACCTTCACTGCCATCTGAGACAAGTATGGGGAATTAATGAGGGTGGGAGGAAAGCAGGAGGGGAGAACCTGCCTGCATGAATTCAATAAGGGGTTAAAACACAATCTACTCCTGAAAGCTCCAAACCTAGATAATCTTTTTTTTTCCCCTCTGAGCTACAAAAATGCTGTTTCACAATCATCTCAAATATCTAAAAGATAAAAACTTTCCCCAGGATACCCAGGTCCAAACTGTGAGTTTTACACAAACAACCGAGAGCCATACAGGTGCTTGTTCAGGGGCCACAGGTTGCTCTGGCCCACATTGGAGGTGCGCCTCTGGCACTGCTTGCAGCGCCGATAATTCTCACATTGGTCCAGGAGGAACAGCTTGTCGGAAGCCCTGAGGAGAAGAGAGGGAAAGCAGCCATCAGCAGGTGTTCCCTGAGTCGTTGCTGAGGGACCAGCTTTGAAGCAGTGTAGTGGGAAAAATACAAAAGAAAAGTAAGATTTGCTCCCTGCCCTTGAAAAGCTTACAATCCACCTGTGGTTTCTTACCTGTGGTCTCTCCCCCTCCATGCCACTACCTGCAACTCACCTCAACCTGGCATCCCTTGCTTGCAAACCCCTGCTATCTCCCTGATCTTCAGTAAATAAAGGACCCCGATGGGGGTGTCTTCCCAACAGTCTCACCCCAGCCCACCTTCCCAGCCACACTGACCCAAACCTACAGAAAACAGATAATTTGCCCAAGGTCACACAACCATGAATGGTAGCTCCAAATATTGTGTTTGCTGCTTTGCCATATGGCTGCACGTCTATACCTTTCTGACACAGTGGCTGAGAGCAAGCTGATGATTAACAGTCAACATCCCAGGAGAGAGATGAAAGTAGACTTGCAATAAAAATCCAGAATGCCAGGGGCCTCTAGAAAGTTAAGGGCAAGGGAGGGAGTAGAGACAGAGAAGGAGGAGGAGAACAAAAGCTTCTCACAGCAGAGATGAGGGGACAGCAGTGACTGATTTTCCACTTCGACAATTTTGCTACATTATGCTGGACCATCCCTAGCATGCTCCCTACCCCATCGAACTTTCTATATGGGTAGAATTTTGGAAAAAGGAATTCAAAGGCAGCCTTAAAAGGGAAATGAACAAACAACCTTGAAAGACCTACCTGGCTTGCCTTGGTAATGGGAGGGAGTATCACGTGCTAACTGCATACATGTGAGTCTTATTTTTACTCGTTTTGTTTTCTTTTAATACCAACCAATTCCTTCTTCCTATCTGCTGCCTGAGGAGCCCTGGTGGTGCTATGGTTAAGTGCTCTGCTACTAACCAAAAGGTCGTGGTTCAAACCCACCAACCACTCCATGGAAGAAAAGGTGTGACAGTCTGCTTCCGTAAAAATTACAGCCTTGGAAACCCTATGGGGCAGTTCTACTCTGTCCTACAGGGTCGCTATGAGTTGAAATCGATCCGATGGCAGTGGGTGCCTGCTGCCTGCTTGAGTCCCTGTCCAGCAACTCGGCCTCAGTCCTCAGGTAATAGATCTGATCTGCAATATTCCTGGAGCAGCCTTGTTAGCCTGCCACTCAAGATCATTTCCTGTGTCCTCTCTGTCCTTTAACACCATGTTGTCCAAGCATTCTTCCTAAACCCAGCTAAATGCTCCTGGTATTAATCTCACTGCCTTTTACTCATTTTCCCAGAACATTGAGAAAATGGCTTGGAACTTCCAACCCCACCTTTCCCTTCCCCTTCTCTAAGCCAAACAACTCACTTCTTTAAAATCTATTTTCCACATCTTCCCTCGTCCTTTCATTGTCACAATATATGGGTTCTACACTTGGAAAGACAGGTGAGAAATGCCTTAAAGAAAATCTAAAAAGAAAAGGAGAGTTACAGATCAAGATCCATTATTCCAAATATTATGCATGATAAAAATTAGTTGATAATTGGCAATTTAAAATATTCTGGCACATTCAGGTTTTAACAACAGTTGATCGTATAGACTTGACTATTTCATCAAATATTTAACATTCTATATCATGGCTTACATTTGTATAATATTTTAATTTTTTTCAAGTGTAACACTCTCTCAACTCTTTACTTGATCCCTAAAATCCCTGTTAGCTAGTCAGGCAACTATTTACTATCTCCATTTACAAATAAGAAAAAAAGACAAAAATACGAGCTGTCTCTCCAACACATTGCCACTGAGTCAATTCCAACTCATTGCAACCCTACAGGACAGAGTAGAGATGCCCCATAGAGTTTCCAAGGTTGTAATCTTTACAGAGGTAGACTGTCACATCTTTCTCCTGCAGACCAGCTGGTAGATTCAAACTGCTGACCTATCAGATTAGCAGCCAAGTGCCTAACCACTGTACCACCAGGGCTTCTCTGCCTCTCCAAAGGTAGTGTTAATTATCAGAGTCAAGACTAGAACCCAGATTTCCTGACTCTAAATTGTAAATACATAGCTGGAAAGAGGGTGCAGGGATGTAATAATAAATTTCAGAAAGATGCTCTTGGTTGGTTCCATAATGGGCATCTCACTTGCCCAATTTTCAGTCTTACAACCCCTTGACTCAGCTCTTAAATGGCCATTCTATAAACCTTGAAAGTGTTCAGATGGAAAACTCACTCTCACTACTTCCAGCTATTTCCGAAGAGAAACCCCACCCTCATCCCTCCCACCTCCCACCCTCTACACTCCCACTCACCACCTCCCCGCCCCACCCAAAAAGAAAATAAAGCTACTCTGAGCAGAGGCCAAGACTAAGACAGCATAGGCAAATATATAGCATACAACACAGCACTCTCCAATCCCATGTCCACAACAGACATTTCTAATCAATCACAGCAATATTTCCAACTGAACCCGGACTTGGTTTCTCCATAAAGTTCTCTAGGTAGCCACAACTAATCAACTGGAGTTGCCATGTGAAATGAAACCTATCTACCATCCCAGGATTAGAATGAAGTAAACAACGAGCAGAGGAGATTTTCTTTGCAAACAAAGAACTTCTGGATCCAGTCAGATATTACCTCTCAAAAGCCCTCTCCTCCAGGTCCCGCTGCCTCTTCATTGCAACACTCCTTTCCCAGTCTTCCTGTAAGCATTGGTTGATTCTGTTCACTCGCTCCAGTTCAGCAGCTCTGTCTGCCAAGTGTCTAGAAAGAACATAACAATCTGACTCCACTCACAATATCTGTAAGAGCATGCACCAATCTTAGGAGCCCCATTCCTTTTATGTTAAATTAAGCAGAAAACCTTCTGGTTTTGTTCAATACTCTTAGAAATACACTAAACAGCATGAACACTGTAAAAACATGGTGTAACTCCTAGCTCTGAAATAATTTACTGCCTAGGTCCTCTCATCTTCAGTCCTAGTTTAACTTAGCAGGATTGAAACCTTTTCCCAATCAACAACTTCTGCTTTTAAAGCCACTAATTTCCTTTCAGGCTAATGTAACTCATCTGAGGAATCATCCAAATGGATTTCCTATACAATGTGCTTCTTTCTTTACACTCCAACCTCTCAGCTGTCAGTACTCAGCCTACAAGCAGTTTACAGCTCGTATTTTTGTCTTTTTTTCTTATTTGTAAATGGAGATAGTAAATAGTTGCCTGACTAGCTAACAGGGATTTTAGGGATCAAGTAAAGAGTTGAGAGAGTGTTACACTTGAAAAAAAATAAAAGATAGGCATACAAATGATTAGCTAGGAAGGGGAAAAGAAACAGAAGTGACTAGGTAAGAAAATCAAAGAAACCAACATTGTGAAGAAGGAAAAAAATAGGAGTGTCAGGTGAAGGTCATGTCATCCAAGAAGTGACTGCAGTATAATAGCTGTCTTCAAATACAAGGTCTCTGTATTCCTGGTGTGTTTCTGTCACTGGTCTCCAAGCACCCAGTCACTGCTGTTGATAATCACCCTAAGCCTGGTTCAAATTATTTATTTCCTACCAAGTAAACTCTTCCCATCAGTTCCCATTAAAGTCTAGAAGGTAATTCCCTAAATGTGACTTGAGTTAGCCTGCTCTGAAGGGCTTTCAAGGAGCTCTGGTGGTACAGTAGTTAGGCACTTGGCTGCTAACCAAAAGGTCAGCGGTTCAAACCCAGTAGCCGCTTCACAGCAGAAAGATGTGGCAGTCTGCTTCTGTAAAGCTTACAGCCTTGGGAAACCCTATGGGGAAGTTCTACTCTGTCCTATCGTCGCTACGCGTTGGGGTAAACACAGCAGTGGGTTTGGTTTGGGTTTGGAGGGGCTTTATGTTACAGGCAGCAACAGGTACTAGGTGTCAGTATCCGCAGACAAAAATCAGTCACGTTCTCTGTATTGGTTCACTTTTACTAAAATATCATGGCCACCTTTCCATCTAACAAGCATTGACTCAACAGCTACTGCGTGGTTGTTATAAACATTAAATGAGATAATGTAGAGGGGAAAAATTGCCAGTGCCTGTCACATAATAAGGAGCTCAATGACTGAACTGTAGCTATCATTTAATTAGTTTCAAAAGGATGGGTAAAATCATCTTAGTTTAAATACCTAGAGAGTTAGTAAGAGAATGAAGAGGGCAACTAGCATTCTCATACACTGCTAGTGGAAGCAAATGGCTATCCTTTTTAGAAAGTGAACTATCAGTCTCTGGTAAAATTTTAAATTTGCCATATCCTTGACTCGGCAACCCCATTTTTAGGAATTTATCCTACAGGAACAAGAGAATCAGTATAAGGGTATATATTCAAGAATGTTTATTTCAGAATTGTTGTAATAGTAAAGCATCTGGAAACAAAGTAAATACTCATAAATAGGGAAAAGTTAAATTATAGTACATCCATATTATAGATATTATGCTGCTATTAAAGAAGAATGAATTTGGCATATATGTACTGACCTAGAAATAAATTAATGACACATTAAGTTTTAAAAAGTTGGGTTGCACAGTAATATATAAGATCCTGTGGATCTCCTTTTCATTTACAAAAAAGAAGGTATGTACATATATATATACAGTTATTTGCATATATTTGTAAGAATAGGAAAAAATGTAGAAATCTACATATCAACATTCACATTGGCTACTTTGGCTACTTGATGAGGGAGATTATTAACCTTTTTTTTTAATTCTCTCTAATTTTAATAAGCATGAATTGTTATAATCTTTTAACAAAAGCAGAAAAAGTTAAAGAAAAAAACAGAAAAACAAGTATTAATAGTTTAGCAGGCCTGTCTGGATCCCACTGATTAAATTATACCCTCTGAAAGAAAGTGGCCTCCTATGTGCCACAGGGGGAGACCTAAGATCACATCTTGAGATGGACCAGAGAAGGGCAGGAAGCTGAAAATGTTAAGGAAAGAGAGAGAATCTGGGATAATCGGTAAAGGATATAAAAGCGGAAGACAAGGATCTGACCATACAGCAAAGGGGATCTACAAGTGGAGCTCTAACAGGAAATAACCAAGTCAAGGCCACAGGTAAAATTTGTTCAGAGCTTTATAGTTTCTAAAAGTACTCTCACATAATATTACTCAGCCATAAAGAGAAATGACGTCCAGATACATGCTACAACATGGATGAACTCTGAAAAAATGCTGAGTGAAATAAATCAGTCACAAAAGGATAAACACTGTATGATCCCACTTATATGACATAGGCACATGTGTAGAGACCAAAGCTTATTAGGAGAAAGAAAGGGAGAGTCATTGCTTAGGGGCACTAAATTTCTGTTAATGGTAGTAGAATAATTTGGAAAGGGATAATGGTAATGGTTGCACAACAGGATGAACATAATTAATGTCACTGAATCGTACATGTAAAAATTGTTGAACTGGCAATGTTTTGTTTTATATATTTTTACCACAATAAAAAATCTATATAGAAAGGCAAAGTAACTAGAATAGTCAAAATAATTCTGAAAAAGAACAAATTCACAATACCTGATTTTGAGACTTACAAAGCTACAGTAATCAAGTAATCAAGACAGTGCAGTAATGGCAAAAGGACAGATGTATCAATAAATGGAAAACAACAAAGACTCTAGAAATAAACTCACAAATATATGGTCAAATGATTTTCAAAAAAAGTGCAAAGGAAATTCAATGGAGAAAAGATAGTCCTTTCAAAAAATGGGGCTAGAACAATTGGATATCCATATGTAAAATAATTAATCTTGAGCCATTCCTCACACTAGATACAAAAGTTAACTCAAAATGGGTCACAGGCCTAAACGTAAAACCTAAAACTATAAAACTTAAAAAAAAAAAAAAGTATTGGAGAAAATCTTTGTGATTTTGGTTAGGCAAAGATTTCTAAGATACAACAACAATAGGATTATCCACAAAATAAAAAACTGATAAATTGAATTTCATAAAATTAAGAACTTCTCCTCAAAATACACTACTGAAAGAGTGAAAGCAAGTCACAGACTGAGAAAATATTTGCAAATCACATATCTGATAAAAATTTCTATCCAGAATATATGAAGAACCCTTGCAATTGAATAGCAACAAAACAAAACAAAAATTTTAATGGGCAAAATATTTCAACAAGCACTTTATCAAAGAAAATATATGGATAACAAATAACTACATGAAAAGATGCTCAACATTATTAGGCATTAAGGAAATGCAAATTAAGACCACAATGAGATACCACTACACACCTAGTAAAACAGCAAAAAAAAAATTTTTTTAATATGAAAATGCCAAGTTCAGGAAAGGATGCAGACCAACTGGAACTCATATATATTGCTGATGGGAATGGAATGCAAACTGTTATAGTGACTTTGAAAAACAGTTTGTGTTTTCTTATAAAGCTAACTACACTTATCATTAACCTCAAAATCCCATTCCTAAGAATTTACCCAAGTGAAATGAAAACTTACATACACACACAAGTCTGTAGATGAATGTTCATAATGGTTTTATTTGTAATCACAAAAACTGGAAAAAAACCAGATGCCCTTCAACTAATGAACGGATAAACAAATTGTGGCTCATCCATACAATGAAATACTAGTCAGTAATAAAATTAACCAGCTTCTGATACATGTGACAACATAGATGAATCTCAAATTCACTGTGCCAAGTGAAAGAAGCCAGATTCAAAAGGTTACGTGCTATATGATTCCATTTACATGACATTCTCTAAAAGGCAAAACTATAAGGTTAGAAAACAGATTAGTGGTTGTCAGGGACCAAGGTGGGGGAGAAAATGACTACAAAGGGGCAAGAGGGAATCTGATGGGTGATAGAACTACTCTAAATCTTCATTGTAATGGTGGTCTACATGTTTATATACATTTGTCAAAACTCACAGAACTGTATACCAAGACGGGTACATCTTATTATGTGTGAATTATAACCTAATTAAAAAAAAAAAAATCCAGTCCTCTCTCTCCCTCTCTATTTCTCTCTTACACACACACATATACACACACACAGAATGACCCCAAGTTTTTGGCCTGAGCAATCAAACTGAGATGTTATCAACTAAGATAAGGAAAGCTTCAAGAGAAATAGTTTGGGAAGTAAGATTAGGAGATCAGTTTTGGACGTATTAAGTTTTAAGAATCTATTAAATATCTTGATATTAATATCTTGATATCCAGGTACAGATGTCAAGTAGGTAGTTGAACATATGAATCTGGCATTCACTGGAGACACCCACAGTAGAGAGATAAATTTGGGTGTCACTGCCATATAAATGACATTTTAAGCTTGAGACTAGATAAGATTACCAAAGAAGTGAGTGGCCATAGAAAAGAGAAGGGGTCCAAGGACTAAGGCCTCGGGTACTCCAATACTCAGAAGTTACAGAAATGAGAATGAAAAGAAATACTAGTGAGGTATGGTGACTTGGAAGCCAAAAGTGATTCAAGATGGCAGGTGGTACTGACTGTGTCAAATGGTGCTGATAGGTCACGTATGATGATGACAGAGAATTGACCATTGGAATTAGCAACACAGAGGTTATGAATGACCTTGATGGAACAGTTCTGGTGAAGTGGCAGAGGTGAAAGATTAAGAGTGGGTTTGAAAGAGAATAAAGGAGAAATTAGAGTATAAAGCTTTGTTTAACTATATGGTAGCCATTAGCCACATAAGGCTCTGAGCACTTGGCACGTGGCTAGTCCAAACTGAGATGTGCTGTTACTATAAAACATACACTGGATTTCAAAACACAGTATGAATAAAAAATATGTAAAATATCTCATAATAATTTTATATTGATTCCATGTTCAAATGATAACATTTTAGGTATTTCGGTTAAATAAAATATATTATTAAAATTAATTTTATCTGCTGTTTGTTTTTCTTAATGTGGCTACTAGAAAATTTAAAATTACATGTGTGGCTCACATTTGTGACTCACGTTGTATTTCTATTGGGTAGTGCCTGGTATGGAAAACTCTTTCAAGAAGTTGTGCTGAAAAGGGGAGGAAATATGGGGAAATAACCAGAAGGAGAAATGGGGTCAAGAGAGTTTAAGCTGTGTGTGTTTTTAAATAACTTTTTCATAGGGTGAACTGTGAGGACGAAACAAGATGAAGCATGTAATGAGCTCAGAATAACGTCTTGGACATAATAACTCCTCAACGTGCTACTATGAAAGAGACAGAGGGAAGGAGAAAGGGAAAGGGAGAAGGGGAAAGAGGGCAGGAGGGAGGGGAGAAAGACAGGAGAAGGAAAGATCAGAGGTCTCCTTACTCTTTGTGTGTCCTCTCCAACATTTGCAAATCCTGCCTCTGATCCACCAGTTGGTTCAGAATCGCTCTCCTCTTGTGGCTAGCAGCTGCCTCCAGCTGGTGCTTCATATAACTCTGTTCTCGATTGAATCTTTCCATTGCCAGCTCGCTGCCGTTCTTACCAAAGATGGGTTCTGAAGAGTCTGGCTCAAACACAGGTAGTTGGACGGGTTTGTTCTTTATCTGAAACAGGGACACCCATAATGCAAATTACAATTATACCAGGGAATGAAGTTTATGCATAAGTCTGTAGTATAGTAAAATACCAATAGCTTACAAGGAAAGAGTGACTCAAATCACCAAATGGGTAACATATGATGTTATTCATAACATTACAGTATTTATATGTATTTTTAGAATGTGATTGAAGTACTACATAATTTAAAAACAATAACTTTCTCCTACCTGGGCATCCAAAGCTCTCTTGTAACACTGGGATTCTTCCATTTTATCTTTCAAATATCGGGCTCTTTGTGCAGCAAGTCTAGCAGTTGAAAATAGGAGAAGGAGGATGCACAGTTTTACAGAGTTTTAGTGATACAGATTAACATCATCAAAACATGTTTAATAAGTATTCATAGGAATGAAAGCCTGGTCAATATAAATTGATATTTCCTTCTGGGAGATTTCATTTTAAAAAAGAATAGAGTAATTCAAATCCATAGGGCATCAGGGGAAGGGGAAAGGGATGCATAGGTGGAGCACAGGGCATTTTTAGGGCAGTGAAACTATGCAGGATGATACTATAACACATGAAATTATACATTTGTCGAAACCCATAGAACTGTACAACACAAAGAGTGAACCCTAATGTAAACTATGGACTTTATTCAATAATGTTCTTGTTGTTGTCAGCTGCCATTGAGTCAGGCCCCGACCCATGGTAACTCAATGAACAACAGGATCAGACCGTTGTGATCCACAGAGTTTTCACTGGCTGATTTTCGGAAGTAGATAACCAGGTCTTTCTCCCTATTCTGCCATGGTGTGGAAGCTCTACTGAAACCTGTTCAGTATCACAGCAACACACAAGCCTCCACTGACAGATGAGCGGTGGCTGCGTATGAGGTGCACTGGCCGGAATCAAACCTGGTCTCTGCAAGGAAAGCGAGTATTCTACCACTGAACCACCAATGCCCTCTTAGTCGATAATAATGTATCAATACATGTTCAACAATTGTAACAAAATGTACCACGGGATGCAAGATATTTATAGCAGAAACAGTGCGCAGAGGGGAGAGGAAGTATATAGGAACTCTCTGTATTTTCTGCACAATTTTTCTGTAAACTCCAAAAAATAAAGTCTATTTAAAGAAAAAAAGTGGATAACAAATTCATAGGCTAGTGGACAATGTGTTAAACACATGACTGATAAGACACGTATATGCACGTGACCAACCAAATTGTCCAAAAGCACTACTACTAAGACAGGCACGCACCTCTCAACACACATGCTTTACGAAAATCTGGAAGGCAGGAAATGACCATTCATTCTAGAAAATGATTCATTAGTAAGGCTCCTTTTTAATAAAAGTGATCTCTCCTATCATATATAAATTATGATTCTATTACATGTAACCGTCAGGGAACCCATGTGATCTGTAAAGGGAATATAATAGAACGTATAAATTTATAGTGATATAATTCTTTGGTCACAGAAAAGCTTATTATTTGTTTTAGGAGTTTCTGCTCATACTACAATAACTTCCTTAGTTGCTCTCCTGATCCAGAAGTGTGGGCCCCCTTAGACACACAAGAATTCTGTGACCCTGACCCTATCCCAGGCCTCAGATGACCCAAGCAGACCAATCAGAATGTCTTTCCTGGGAATCTGGAATTGAGACTAACGTTTATGTAAATCTGGACTGGAATAAAGGCAATGTCAACTAGGGAGCTGTGGGTGTGAGCAGAGGGAAATCCACTCTACATGGCTTTTTAGTCTCTGGTTCCAGTCACCCCTGGGTCTTTAGTACTTTCCTTCCCTCGGGTTCCATGGGACACGCATAGTATACATAATGAAACCTTACCATACGAGCATTAGTAAAACAATGTAAAATGATACTCAAAAAATACAGTAAAGATTAGCAATCACTATTATAAAGATAATTATAATGATGGATTTTTAATTTTTCTAATTAACGTTATGTTCTGGTACTGGCTGCTCTCTGGGTTACAGCGGCATCACTAGGGGTTGCGAACCACACTGGGTGACACTGTCAGAGGGGGTGACACCAAAATGTCTATAAAAATATCCCTGTAGTTAGTTATAAAACAAAAACATTTTTCATAAACCCAGTTTACATGTATCAATATACCTACAAGGCAAAAATTCTATGCTAATTTATTTTTTGAACCTTCTAACACGCTCCGGTCAGAGCTGTCACTATTAGTCAATTACAATGACGCTTTGAATCATGTCGTTTCATCTGCACGCGCTACAAGCACATGCTGTTTTTGTTGCTGTTGGTGTTTTTATAGTCACTGATTTTGTCAAATTTTCTGGTGCTTTAGCTACAATATTGTGGTAATTAGTACTAGTGACCCTATATCGATGACTTTTCTGAGAATGAAGTAGTAATTAAAGGGAAAGAAGGAATGATATACAGGAATTATGATTTATGGGTAACATTAGAATAAAAAACATGACTAAGGATTCTGTATGGTCTGGTACAGGAGGAGGTCCCTGGGTGGGGGGCGGGGGGAGGTCGCACCACTGCTGGGTTAGTTTGCTCAGTTGCTAAGGTGGTGCTAATGAAAGTACCAACGCTGAGTCAATCCCACGTGGAAATTAACTTCACATGAAAATTCTGAATCCATTTTTCAGAGCATGTCTAGCTGGACTCACTCCTCTGTGAGTTGCACTTGTTCTAGGCGGTCCATCAATTCCCTGTTTTGTCTTTGCTTTCTTTCTTTTTCCCTTCTGTTATCTATTTGTTTCAGGAGACTCTGGGAATATTCCTCTTGCTTAAGAGCATTAATCTCAGGACTGAGTGGTCGCTTATCAAATATACAGGATTTCTAGAATAAAAGGGAAGCAGTTTATTAATGCTAGAATACCAAAAAGCAACAAAGAATAAAGTTAGTAATTCAAAAGACTAAACTCCATCAGGGTATATTTATTCATTTCTAATATTTGCCCAGCCCTCAACACACTGAACAGTTAACATTAAGGTGAAAAAGTCCATTGCCATCGAGCAGATTCCAACTCACAGCAACCCTACAGGACAGAGCAGAACCGCCCCATAGGGTTTCCAAGACGATACTCTTTATGGCAGACCGCTGCATCTTTCTCCCATGAAGCGGTTGGTAGGTTCAAGCCACTGACCTTTCAGTTAGCTGCCCAGCCCTTAACCACTGTGCCACCAGGGCTCCTTCAGAGTTTAGGTGAACCACAGGATAATATGAGAGTGCTTAAGGATGAAGCTGAGCTGAAATGACCAAAGGCCCATTTCTGAGAAAGAGATAAAGAAGGACTACAAGGAGTTGGTTCTGAGTTAGCACCTAGGACACCCAGATGGAAGGAAGAAACAATCTGAATGCATGCAAAAGCGTAAGCAAGAACGGGGAGGTGGTGCAAAGAGGGAAAATTGAGCACCTAGCCTGGGCCTGGCCATTCTAGGCACTGGTGATCCAACAGTGAACAAGAACAGACACCTTGCTCTCATCAAGACTGCATTCTGGTGCATGAAACAGACAATTGAAAAGTAGACGAATTGAAAAACGCAGCTGCCATCAAGTCAACTCTGCCTCATGGTGATGCCATGTTTTTCAGAGTAATAGGGTTTTCAATGGCCTATTTTTTGGAATTAGATAACTTTCTTCTGAAGTGCCTCTGGGTAGACTCAATCCACCAACCTTTCGGTTAGCATGTTAATGGTTTGCACCACTTAGGGACTCCAAAGTAAATGAATACATCAGATAATTTAAGGTAGTGATAAGTGCTATGAAGGACTTATCATAGCCCATCACTATGTGGGAGTAAATTCCCTCCACTGAAAATATCAGAGGGAAGAGCCCAAGCTGAAGGAACAGCCATGCAGAAGGAACAGCTAGTGCAAAGACACAAGATGGAAGCAAGCTTGGCATGTTCAACAAACAGAAGGTCTATGAGGCTGAGGCATAGTGAATAAGGGGAAAGCAGAAGTAGATAAGCTCAGAGAGGAAGGCAGGGGCCAAATCCTGTTCAGCCTAACAGGCAAAGGAAGGAGGTTAGACTTTATCTTAATTCAATGGAAGGCCATTAGAGGTTTTAAACAGGAGAATAATACAGTCAGTTAACATTTTTAAAAGATCACTTTGGCTGTTGTGTGGATAATAGATTGCAGGAGATGTAAGAGTAAATACAAATCCAAAAAAGAAAAAATTCAAAAAACTGAATTTTCCCTGGTGCAAAAAAGGAAAGAGGACTCCACACATACTTTTCTTAGGGCATTTACTTTAGAAAACTTGTAATTGTGAATTCTTTCTCTGCCCCTTGTATGTATATATGTATGTAACTCTTTTTTAAAAAAGCTAAATGAGCCTTTTGTCAGTTTTACAACCCAGGAATCTTTTTCTCAAGGACCTAGGACCCTTCTCTCTGAAACGTAATCATCAAGAAAGACAGGGACCCTATCTAACTTTAGCAAGCACTTGACTCCTGTCATAAAGATATGAGAAATCTGATTTTCCTTTGGATAAAGGCAATTAGCAAACACAAGTGGTTACCCCAATTACCAGCCAATTTAAGATGAACTATGTGTGACAAATGCTGCTGTCAAGTCCTCTTACATGAGATCATGCATATAATGGGTTGTATCTGCTTGGCTATACATGTGTGTCAGAGTAGAACTGTGCTCCATAGGGTTTTCAATATTTGATTTTTTGGAAGTAGATCACCAGGCCTTTCTTCCAAGGCACCTCTGGGTGGACTTGAATTTCCAACCTTTTGGTTAGCAGCCAAGCACATTATCATTTGCACCACCCAGGAACTCCTGGCTATATAAAAGGGTAAGATTTCTTTCTGACTTTACAATTTCTTTAGTGGATTGCCTGTGATGCTCATCACATCTGGCTCAATCCTTATGCAATATTAAAACTGCTTTCTTTTCTCGTCTACTTTTTTGGAGAGGTTTCCTGAGTTGGTAGGAGATTTGGTTTTAATTTTATTTCCCCAACAGAGGAAGAGAACGCAAGCAACAAATTTAATTGGGGAGGTATTGCAAAAGTTCAGTCTTATAATGTGGTTTGGACTAGGGTGGTAACATTGAAGATGAAGAGATGTGAACAGATACTAGATATATTTTGGAGGTTAAAACAAATAGATGTGCTTATCATTGGGTGTGGGGGAAGCAGAAAGAGAGGAATCTAGGTTGACTCCTAGGTTTGGGATTTGTTCAGTTGGATGGTCGGTAATGCCACTTACTAAAATGGGAAAACTGGAAGAAGAACAGGCTGGGGAGGAGAATCAAAAGTTCTGTTTTGGTCTCTTTAAGATGTCTACAGATATATTAAAGAGGGGATTCAAAGTGGGCAGTAATATATATAATCTGGAACTCAAAGGAGAGAGAGTTCATGCCTAAACCTCACTTCAAAAGAATCTCTCTCTTAAAAAAAAAAAAAAAAAAACCTCTCTCTTTCTCCTGCCCCTGCTGCCTGGAAAGCTCTTCCTCCATTCTCTTCTTTACCTAACTCCTGTTTACCAGAAAGTCTTTCTGTATCTCTGGTCTGAGTCAATTGACTCTCTTCTTTGCTCACATTGTGTCCTGTTCAAAGCTTTATCATAGCATTTATCATACTGCACTGTTTATCTGTGTGTCTGTCTCCCCCACTAGACTGAGACCTCTTTAGAAGAGGATTCTTGTCTTATCCATCCTTCTAGTCCTAGCCATCAGCACCAGAAAAAGTTCAATAAATTTTTGTTGATGAATAAAGAAAATGCATTTTATTAGATTTATGTCCAAAATGTCAGGCCACCTAGATAGTGGTGTAAGAGGAGAAAGATTCAGGCAGAATAAAGGTAGGCATATAATGGAGGAAAATGCTAAAATAAATGGTGAAGTAGGTGGCTCACCTTCATCTGAAAAAGGGCTTCTCAAACTTCAATGTGCACATAAATCACCTAGAGATCTTATTAAAATGCAGATTCCCATCTAAGAGTCTATGGTGGGGCCCTCGATTCTGCATTTCTAGCAAGCTCCCAGGGGATGCCAAGGCTGCAGGTCCACAAACCACACTTTCAAGGTTCTTCAGCTCCTCTCTTTAGATCACTGTTCTGTTGGGGCAGGGTTTTAGTATGCTGCCCTCCGCCCACCTGCCCCGGTTCCTGGTTGAGAATTACTATAAATAACAAGAGCTATGGTGACTAATAGGCTCTGTGCTGTGAATGTGAACGGTGGAGGCAAACACTAGACAGAAAACCCTTGCCTTAGAAGGAAGCTTCAACCCTACACAACCATACACAACCTACTTTTCAGTTCTGCCACTTAATAAAATGGCATAAATTGCAGTACAGGGAACAAATACAAATGCTCACAGATGGGGCAGTCATTAACAACAGAAATTTTCAAAATGCTCTTACATAAAACTCAGGTTTTTCATTCTTGTGGTTTCTTATAGCTTCAGCAACTCCAAGATTATAGGCAGCATTTTTCTGATTCTGTTCTCTAGTAGCCAGACTTTTCATCTATTGCCAAAAAAAAAAGGGGGGGTGTTTATTAATGGTGAAAACTTGGACATAACCTAAATTTTAGTCCAGCTAAGTAAATGACTAAATATGTTGTAGTACAGTCAAATGATAGAACATTTTAAACGGACATTGTATAATCATCACGTTCTGCTTTCTCACATTAAGCACTCTTTAATCACAGTGTTGGAATACCTGCTGTTTGAAGACAGCCTCCTGTTCTTTCAACAGCTGATACTGCTGTATGAGTCGTTCATCTTCTCTCTCTCTCCTTTTCCTCTCCTCACTATAGTACAATGGGGAGTTGCGCTGTGCTCGTTGCAGACATACATAGCACATTTCCTAAATCAAATTAATTGATTAATCAAATTAAAAATTAATTTAGGACAAATTAATTCTTACCTTTTACTTTTTTGCCTTCACATTCCCTCACCAGCTCTCCAAAGGCAGGATACCAAGAAATATACTTTATAAGAGGATGTAACCCATCTGTTGTCAATTTACAAACAATAATTATTAAAACTTAACAATTACCAAAACGAGATTTTGCAGAAGGGGCTGCACAAATATTCAGTATTTACTCAACTCTCACTTGATCAGAGTGTTTATAGCAACTGAAAATTAGAAACGGATTTCCCAATTCTACTTCTGTTAACTAGTAGATCTTGACTAGTAGACAAATTTATCACAGGTCGGTTTTGGGTCCCGAGTACTTGAGCCATACTCATATATTAAAATTAAGAAAGACGTCTTATTCCCAGAACTGTCTTTGAAAAACAGAAGTCAGAGGAAGATTCTGATTGGGTTTTGTTTGGATACTATACCTGTCCTGCCTTACTATGATCCTGACAAGCAGCAGGAGCTGGAGAAGTTTTGGACTTCATTTCATTGTCAGATTTAAGAAAACCTGAAGATGTTAAGCTGTAAGAACAATGCAATGCTAGTTAATGTTTAACGGTCTCACCTCCAGAACAACTGTAATTTTTAGAGGCCAGTATAAATATGAGAGAAAGAGAAATATCTCAGTGATTTCCTTCAGAGCAGCTGTATGCATAGGGATTAAGAACCTGTGCTTTGCATCAGATAAGCCTGGATTTGAACGCCAACTTTGTTACTTACAAGCTGACTGACATCAGACAAGCTGTATAATCTTGCAAAGTCTCAGTTACCAACTCTGAGAAATGGGGATAAAATTAATTTATTCATTCCACAAAAACATACTGAGTGCATACCATGTGCACACTAGGCACAGAAGATGTAGTAAAGAAAAAAACATGAGAAAAAAAAAGTCCCTACCTTCATGGAACTTTCATTCTGATTGGGAAAGATAGCCTATAAACAAGATAAATAAGTGAACTCTATAGTATGTTACATGGTGATAAATGTCATGTAGTGCTGAAGGAATAGGGTATTAAAGAGAGGCCAAGAAAGTTCTCACCAAAACGGTGACATTTGGGTGAATACCTGAAGGAAGTCAGAGAGCAAAAATATAGATATCTGATGGAAAAGGCACCCTGGCCAGAGTGAGTAAGTGCAAAGTCCTTGAGGTGAGAGCACGCCTGTGCGTTCAATCTGGCTGGAGGGAAATGAGTTAGGGGAGAACAGGAGAGAGGTTAGAGATCACACAGGAGTTTGCAGGCCATGATAAGGACTTTGGCTTTCTTTTTGCGTGAGATGGGAACGCACTGGAGGGTTCTGAGCAGAGGATGAGATCATCTGACTTACATTTTAGTAGGGTCATTCTGGCTGCAGTGTTGAGAATAAACTTAAGGAGGGCAATGTCAGGAGCAGAAAGAACAATTAGGAGACTAGTCCAATAATTCAGGAAAGAGAGTGGAGAGTGGTAGCAGTAGGGGTGGTGAGAAGTGGCTGGATTCTGGATCTACATCTAAGGTGGACTGGACATAATTTTCTGACTGGGTACAACTGCTTTTACCACTGGCCCACCACCAGCATGGAGTATGTTTTCAGCCACAATCCCCTGATCAAGGGTGGGAAGCACAGGTCCATTCTCTAGGCTGTACACAGGTTCTGGCCCCTTGCCAGAGACCAGGAAATGAGTCCATACCAGCTGTGGATATGGTTTCCAGAACTGCACAGGGGCTCAGGGCAAGAACTTTTAAATACTATTATAAAACAAGGTTTGTAGCTATACAATCCAGACATGAAAACTACATAACAGAAAGAGACACGCTCAGGAAAAACTTCTAACAAAACGAATTGTGATTTCTCTATGTCCAGCTCTCCTACTAGATTGTGGGCCTGGTTATCTCTATTATCCACATCATCTAGCACATGGAATATACTCAAGAATACTGGATGAATGAATGAATAGTTATTTAAACTCACTACATCAAGAAATGACTCAAAAATGTATTTATTAACTGCAACAGAAAAAATGTCAATGCATTACCTCTCAGGGGTCACATTCCTCCCACCACTCCCACTCCGCTCAAGCTTGTCCAGCAAGTTAACACTTGTCGCTTTGGCAGGAGAGATATCCTGTCTATCTCTAAGTCTTTTGGGTGACAGGATCTCTATAAAGAATGAATAGAAATCAGTTTCCTTTCAATGTTAACTGAGTTGTTTCTTCTTAATGCAGATAAATAAACTCTGATAATTTTACCTGGGAAAATTTTCACATAAGATAGACTCGTTTATCTTTAAATGATTATCCCTTGCCCTAATGAGGTTTAAAAATTTGTTTCTGCTGTATACTTATTATGTGCAAAGCACTGTGCTGCATACTTTAGAGGATACAAAGAAAAACGTCTTTGCCCTTAAAGACCTTTTAATATATACAACTGGAGGAGGAAATAAGATATAAACAATAATAGTGAGAACTTCCATATCTGAAGGTTTTATTATGTGCCAACATTGCTATACATTGTGTAAATACAACTCAGGACAATGATGCGAAAATGTCTAAATCCCAAATGAATGGTGCCATCTTTGAGGGTCTGACATGTTCTGAGGACAGAGAAGCGACTTTGGGAACGCAGGGATGAGAGAAGTTTTCCTGGAGGAAGCAAGATGTGAAAAGGTGAGTAGGATTGGGATAGACTGAAAGAAAAGGAAGAGCATTCCAGGCAAGAGAAAAAGAGTGAATAAAGGCATGGAGTGAAGGAAGGGTGAAGCATGTTAGAACATGCACAGATAATTCTGCCCAAAGAAGAAGTCTGTGTACGGGAACAGTAGAGATGAGGTCAGAGAGATGAAAGCATGTGAACGTTAGGCTAAAAGTCAATGTGAAATGTTTTGTGTGGCTCAGTTAGCATTTTTGTTTTTATATCAATTAGTTACCAACCTTTAACAGTCAACAGATTTCACATAAAACTCAGGATCTCTGCTTCTCTTGAAAAATCACAAGACCTGATGTCACTTGGTTCATATTTCCACAAATCAATAATCTACTAGAGAACAGTCTACAGGGTCCCTAGGACCCTTTCAAAAGGTTTTCAAGGGCCTAGGATTTTTTTCATCTACTTCAACCAAAACAACGTATTAAATGAAGACCATGATATGAGAATTCAGTTACCTTCTATTAAGCCAGACATCAAAGAGACTCAAAAAAATGTAAAACTGCCACTATTCATTTTTTGTAACAAATTATTTATGCTAACATGTAATGGAATTATTATTGTCTTTAAATGAATAAATGAATATTTGTAAATTTTCTCAGTCTTCATTTCAATATGAGAAATATCAATAGATATAACTACCATAAAGCAAAGTTCTTTGGGGTACTCCAGTGTAAAGGGGTCCAGAGACCCAAAGTTTGAGAAACACTGTGCTAGAGCAACAGCTGCTCCTCATAAGAGGGTACGCTCTCTCCACTTCACCACGGTCCCCTACACTCCTGTAGTCTTATATCCAGTCCACTTAACGCCGTTATGTTACCTGCCTGGACCCTGTAGACACCTGAGTTTTGGCTCTTGTAAGCAATGGGGAGCCATTGAAGAGTCATAGTCTAAGAGCTTGACAGTCACAGAGTCTAAGCATACAGTAGTTAAGAAGAGATATAGGATTTCAGGAACAAAACCTGTTAGAAGAAATCCAGTGATTATCATAAATCTAACTTTATTTATTTTGAACATACGAGTTGCTAAGCAATATGGCTGGGTTCATAAGCAGTAAAAAGTGACAGACTATACCCAGAAACTACTGGCCTACCTCTGATGCCTTCTTCTTTGTCTGACTGGTCTTTAACCTTGAACTTCCTTTCTCTATTCTCTCCATTTCCTTCTACAATGGTCTGTATAGATGTTTTGTTTTCTGTCTCCTTGAGATCAATCCTAGGAACAAGTCAAGATGTTTATTTACTGTACTGGACCTGAAGGGGTGACTGTGAACTCTCAGTTCCAGGAAGCAACTCAGCCAGCTCACTGATTCTGAAATAAGGCCCACTTCCCTCAAGGGCGGAGTCCCTGAGTGGTGAAAATGGTTACTGTGCACAGCTGCTAACCAAAAGTTTGGAGATGCAAGTCCACTCCGAGGGTCCCTAAGAAGAAGGACCTGGTGATCTATTTCTGAAAAATCAACCACTGAAAACCCTGTGGAGCACAGTTCTCTTCTGACACACATAGGGCGGCATAAAAAGAAGTCAACTCACACCAACTAGTTTCCATCAAGGAGCAAGTGCTTTGGTTTGCTAAGCACACGTTATGGGCTCACTCCTTTGAGGTTAAGTCTGGGAGCCACCGAAACCTTCCCTCCTCTAGTCTGTGGCCTCAAATCAACTTGTATATAGAGAAATTACTTTGAAGACCTGGATTTAAGGTTTTTACTTTAGTTTCAGTTTGATTTTTTTCTATGTCTTTTCTAGTTTTATAACCAGATGCCATGGGGGTGATATAGTGAAAGTTGATTCAAGTATGAAGGCTAGGACTCCCAAGGATTCACAACCTGGTAGAGACAGTATGCCCGAAAATAACTATTTCACTCTTCCCTCCTACTCCTCCCCATCTCCTCATCCTCTCCCAAGCAAAAGTGAGGGCCTTATAAAGGTAGATTGGGGCTGGCGGGCCCAACTGGTGTGTGTAGTTAGTAGGTTTTCTTTGTTCTCAGGAATAGGGTGCTGGGTTGGAGTAGGAGGGTACCTCCAGTAAATTCAGGGACCAAACTTTACATAAATAAAACTCCTACCATTGTTTCAAGTGTTTGAGTCCACATGTCCATTTCTAGGTGTTCTAACTTCCAGGATTCTTCATCTGTTCCTTAACCCACTGCAATTATTTGCCTCCTTGAATGCTTCAGCCAAAATGTATCAAATGGTATAACCAAATTTGCCCTCCATCCAAGACACAATCAAAATAAAATAATTTTGAAACTTTATTTATTTATTTATTTTAAATGAGTAAGGCAACATGATGCAATGGAAAGAACACTGGAACAGCCGAGAGACATGGTTTTATTTCTAGCTTGGTCACTCATTAGTTGTGTCACCATTTTATCTGCAAAATGAGGACTAGCGAATCTCTGAAGGTTTATTCTAGTTTTAGCACTGATATAGCTCAGGTATATGTTATACAGCTCTTCCAGAAGCGGGCTGTTCAAAACCAACAAACACAAGAGGATGCCACAGACTCAAAAAAGATGAGAAAATAATACTCTGGGAAGCTGACTGTTAGGCCCCAAACTTCCTCCACTTGAAATACACAGTTGTTAATGGCACAGCAATTAAGATGAAGAAGATGACTAAGAGCACACAATGAATGAGTGATGGCCAAACTGGAAATAAAACCCATGTCACCTGACTCCTATTCCAATACTCTTAATACTGTACCATGTTGTCTCACTCATTAAAAAAGTAATAATAATGAATTAAATTTAAAATGAATGTGCTAGCTCTATAAAACAGAGAAAATTATGATACAGATTTCATAGGGTTGTTAAGAAGATTAAATAGAATAATATTGAGAAGTGCTTAACAGAACCTGGCATCTAGTAAGTATTCCATAGACGATAGCCAGTAATATTATTATTATTATTATTACTGTTGTTGTTGCTATCATTATCACTATTATCATCATTGTCAGCAGCAGCCACCAGTAATATTCACTGTGCCCTCTCCTACTTTTTGTGCAATTCCACTATTCTTCGAGAGAAGGGTTTGGGATAAAGCCTGTTTCCTTATCCTACCTTGTTTTTTTAACATCTTCAGTGGTGAGAATCAAGGCTCCGACAGGAGGTGGGCTGGACTGCAAGAACAGGAAAAAGCTAGGACAGTGGAAGTGGTGGAAAGTAAACTCCAGCAGGTGAGAGAAATTTTACTAATATTGCAAGGACAAAAGGTTGATGGAAGGAGCACTGGTGGCACAATGGTTAAGGACTTGGCTGCTAACCAAAAGGTCCAAGGTTAGAGCCCACTAGTGGCTCCAAGAAAGAAAAGACCTAGTGATGTGCCCCCTAAAGATTCCCACCCACTGCCATCAAGTCGATTCTGACTCATACCAACCCTACAGGGCAGAGGAGAACTGACCCATAGGGTTTCCAAGGCTGTAAAATCTTTACAGAAGCAGACCGCCACATCTTTCTCCCAAGGAGCGGCTGGTGGGTTCAAACCTCAGACCTTTTGGTTAGCAGCTGAGTGCTTTAACCACTGCACCACCAGGGCTCTTTCCTATAAAGATTACAGCCTAGGAAACCCTATGGGGCATTCTACTCTGTCACATAGGGCCACTGTGAGTCGGAATTGACTCCATGGCACACGACAACAAGGTTGCTGGGAAGGAGCCCTGGTGGCGCAATGGTTAAGCGATTGGCTGCTAACTAGCTCCACAGGAGTAAGCCCTGGTGATCTACTCCCATAAAGACTGCAGTCTAAAAAACCCTATCAGCAGTTCTATTCTGTCAACACTGGATCACTATCAGTTGAAAATCGATTCGATGGTACCTAACAACAACAACAAGGTTGGTGAGAGGTGGTATCAGAATTTCCAGGGAGACAAGAATAGTTTAAAAACAAATGCTCTAAATGCCCGCTGTTTTTTAATTCAACACAGAGAGTGCATGCAATAAACTCTTCTTCCCTAGTGAATTGAGAGAGAGAGAAAAACTGCAGTAAAAGAAGCATAAGCTACAAAAGATCGAGTGAGAAACACTGCTGTATCAGAGCAATAGATGAACAAGGACAACCGATGCCTGGAGGAACCCACGGAGCAAAGCACTCACCTTGGAAATGCAAGCACGCTGCAGGGTCGCTTCCCAAGGTCGTCTCTGCTAGACAACACTGAGTCCACAGTGCCAGGCCTCTGGAAGACAGGGACAGTGAAAGGTTACACCTGGGTTGTGGTCCAGGACACAGACAAACTAGATGCTACAGGCTGTCTCAAAGGCAAAACTACCACTATATTTTTTTTTTTTTCCATGCTTAAAGTTCAGAACTTACACTCCAATGAGAAATGTCTCATTCCTCAAAGTAGTCACCCTAGTAGCTGCTTACTAATTCCATTGATCCTGCCTTTTCTCAAACCATTTCCTCTTTGGAAATTATCTTCAGAGTTCTCAACTTTTTTTAGATATCTTTAGGAGAGGACCGGACATATAGAAGCTATCAGGAAAATGAGCAAGCTAGCTAATTTCATCCTTGACCCAAATAATTCTAAAATTGAGTAGTTACAGGACAGCCTTCTAAGTTAGGTAGATTCAAGTTCAAATCCCCATACTGCTATTAGCCTCAGGCCCTGGCTATATGAGAATAATAATAGGATACAATTAATAGGATTTTTATGAGATACTGTATATAAGTGGCTAGCACATAGTAAGCACTCAACAAATGACAGCTACTATTACATTATATAAAAATCACATTATTCTATTATATTAGTATATAATAATAATATATATAAATTATTATTTTGGGACTAACGATTTGCCTCACAAATGGCTTTGAAGGGAACTCTCAGGAAGAAGTTTTAAAAATGTTTTGAGCAAAAGCAGCATCACTGAAATAAGCACATTATCTTCCCAAGAGGACTACTCTGTGGAGCGGTACTCAGGTTTACATTAGGGTATGTCTGGGGAAAAACAATCACTGTCACCACTTTACAGCAGCTTCCCAGAATGTGTTTTGTAGCTGTTAATGAGATATTAATGAGTATTGGATTTACATAAGGTTCTGTAATGAAATACATTTGGGCAGTTAAACGGCTTCTTAACAGACTTCCACAGATCCTTTAAAATGCTCATGTGCTTTGTGCCCCTGTCCATGAGGGTGATATAAGCAGCAGTGTTCAATCTTCTTTGGCCTCCAAAATCTCTTTCTTAGAATATCTCTCAGGATTAATTTGTTTGAAAAATGCTCTTTAAAAGTTCTGCCTTGGAGTGCAGCAGGCCAAGTAAAACACTATCTTCTCCTTTAGATACACATGAAGCTACAAAGGTCAGCAGTCTCCCTGGGGCTTAGAGATGGACCAGTCACTCTGGCCTTGCTTCTGGTTTTGCAAATCTTGCCTTGTGTTCTCACAGAAAAGAGAAAGTTATGCCTGTGTGTGTTTCCACTTTTCCACATACAGGGTTGGCATCCCCTTAGCAATCCTCTATGATGCCAGATTGTGTAGAAAACACCAACGGCCTCATTATGTACAACTCCATCTCCTAAATCCCCAACCTAGAGCTCCATGACAGGAGAAATGGATAGAATTAGACCTTATTCATAACTTTTCCATTTAGAAGTCAGGCACTTGCTCTATGGGACACAAAATTATACACCATTCCGTGACAATCCAATGCATTCATGTCAACGTTGTGAGCTCTCAAAGATATAACTAAGGCATATCAAGTGTTCAGTAAATCCTTGTTGACTGTTTCATTGCCTCCTTAAACCCTGCTATGTCCAACTTGGGAGTTACTGGTTAATGTAAAACGGTTTAGCGCTTGACTACTAGACAAAAGGCTGGTGGTTCAAACCCACCCAGAGGCGTTTCAGAAGACAGGCCTGCTGATCTGCTTCCAAAAGGTCAGAGCCTTGAAAACCTCATGGAGCAGTTCTACTGTGCACGCATGGGATTGGCATGAATTGGAAATGACTCAACAGCAACTAACAACAATATGTCCAACTTAGCATGAAGGTCACTCAAGTCCAGACCAGCTACTTAATGGTTAATAACAGTGTCAATTATGAAAGTTCTTCCACTACATGGTAAATTAAAAGCTAAAGATGGATTTCGGTAACTTGAATTAGATTTTTTTGGTAGACCTTCATTGAAATATAATAGTAGAAACAGCAAAAAAATGTGTGGTTAGGAAGTCTGGGCTTGAATCCCAGTTCTACCACTTCACACTCTGATTTCACGCTTCCCACATAAGCTCTCTGAGCCTCCACTTTTCTCATTTGTAAAATCAGGGTAATAATTTATAATGTTTTATAATGCCAAATTTATAATGTTTTGAGCCTCAAATGAAGTAATATAGATAAAACTTTGTAAACTATAACCCATCCATTGCCATCAAGTCAATTCCGACTCATAGTGACCCTAGAGGACAGAACAGAACTGCTCCATAGGATTTCCAAGGCTATAATCTTTACGGAAGCAGACTGCCACATCTTTCTCCTGCAGAGCAGCTGGTAGGTGCAAAGTGCTAACCTTTTGGTTGGCAGTCAAGTGCTTAACCACTGTGCAATGAGGGCTCCTTTTGTAAACTATAAGATACTATAAAATGTTCAGAATTATGATCCTTCTATGACTATTTATAGTCATCAGTAGTACTGACTCAAAACTTATTTTGAAGTTCTTTTTACCCTTCTAGAAACTCTTTTTTGTCTAAGAATCTATAAATAAGCACGTCCGTGCACTTGGGGAAACTGTCCTTTAAAATATGTAAACCTGAGTTTTTCTTAATGATGACACACCTAGAGCTTATTTACAGGTATAATTTGAGAGAAGGGTTAGGAAAAGAAAAACATTAATTTACATTTGTTAGGGCTTTCACCAAAGTCCCCTTTCCATCCATGGCACAAAGAAAGTCCTTATAAAATTTCATCTTCACTTTGCTGTTTCTGATCACAAGAACCCCAATTCCTTTGAATGTAAACTCCACATTTTGTTTGGTAGAAATGGATCGCGATAAAAAAAGCAACGTCTCCTTCACACATCCTTCCACTATATCCCTGTTAAATGGACCCTCCAGAGATATCATGACAAAATTAAGTGGAATAATTGGGATGTCACCTAGAAGAGAAAAAAAAAGTTGGGGTGGGGGAATGAAAGTGGATATTTACAATAAGGACAGATCAGATACACTCACAAATAATTATCTGATTGTCACTTAATACTCAAAAACAGAGCTGTTCATAAGAAGACTTATACTCACTGTAACATATGTTACACAAAATAACACAAATGGTAATTAACAGATATTAATCAGTACAATTTTCACTAAAAATATGTCTTATGTACCAAAAAATTAGTTTTCTAAGCAAGACTCTATACATACTTTCTGGTGTTCCCTTAGAGACGTAGTAATAACTAACCACTTCTCTTCAGCGGATTTTCTGAACTTTTCAGCCCCCTTATTTTTCAAGACATGCTGTAGCAATATTGCCTATCTCCTCCAATATCACAGCATTTTTAAACAATTACAAATATCTATGAATGTTGTTTTGAAAAGACTGTATTTTTCACTAGATGTTATCTTTCAAATGAAATTGGGTTTTATACAAGGGTATCAGAATGGATGACTTCCAGAATGCTTTTCCTTTCTAATGATTTCATGCATGAATTACACTGCAAAAGAATATGCTTATATCTAGCTTGAAGGAAGTATAGGCTCCATTCAACTAGAACAGAATGTAGGAGCTGTACAAGGTCTACAAGTCAGGAAAGGGGTAAATAGCAAAGAAGCTCAACATAAAAAATCCACAGAGAGACAATAAGTAAGTCCACAGATAAAGGAACAGGATAGAGAAAACACAAGAACATTTTAAACATTCATTTGCAAGCATGAATTGATAGCCTTTCAAATGTCCAATACTGTTGGAAGATGAGGGTTAGCAGTTCTACAAAACACAATCATCCCCTTACCAGCCCACTGTCTTCTGCATAATTTGACAGTGATTCTACACCACCTCCCTCCTCTTCATTTTTTAATAAATTTCTTAAAATAGATGGCTATATTCCCTGCCTCTGCATTCTTTCCTCCCATTCTCCCATTGCCGCTCTACAATCTGTCTACCGGTCCACTCATTGAAATAGGGACGCCATCATCTCATGATGGATAAGCCAATGGATACTTTGCAGATCTTGTTTCTCATAACTCTGTGTACCTTCTTCTGTCCATACCCTCTTTTCTGTTGTATGCATGGCCCCATTCTTCATTCTCCTATTTCCTCCTTGGTCTCCATTGCTGATTCCCTTCCTCTTCTGACTCCCTAAAGAAGCTGATTTTTCACAGGATTCTGTCCTTGTCTGTCTCTTCTTCTTACCTTATATTTTCTCTCTGGGCAATCATATCTATTGTAATGGTTTCAGTAACAATATGCTGGTGACTCTTCTACCTTGATCTCTAATCTCCTCCATCTCTCTCCTGAGCTCTGGAATCACTTTTACCTAGATATCCTTACGGGAATATCAAGCTCAATATGTCCTCCCAAAAAAAATCATTATTTTATCCCTCACCAGAATCTGCCTTTCTCCTTCATCCTTTATGTTAGTAGCATAGATGAGCAACTATCTATTATCCAATGAAGAAATCTAATCTACCTACCACTCTCAGTTGGTAACTGAATCCTGTCAGTTCTACATCTGATATGTCTCATGGACAGATGCCTTCATTTAAGTCTTTACCATTTTTTACCAAATGACTCTAATTGAAAGAGCTAGCTTCCTGAACTAAAAGCTAGACCAGTACAGACAACCCCTTGCTTAATTCCCTCCTCAATGCCTACAGGATGAATTTGAAAGCCCTTATCAGACCTTATAAGGACCCTCACAATTTGGCCTCTACCTACCACTTTTGCCTTACCTCCCTCTACTTGCCCCAATAATCAATATGCACTGACCACACAGAACTATCCCTTACTCCCTTAACAGCCTTCACTATTTTCCTTTTTCTAGACTTTGTTCATACTGTTCCTGAAGTATTTTCCCACAGCGTCCTATCATCCTTTAAGCTCTCCTGAAACTCTCAAAGCAAAGATAGGCAAGCTCTCCTCTGGGCTCCCATAGCATTTAATCCAGCTCCTGAGCAATGCTGCTTTTATAGCATTTAATCATGTCATATCATTTGCTTACACAGTAAATTCTCATTATTCATGGTAGCTATGTTCTATAAAGTTGCCACAAACACTGAATTAGCAAATACGGAACAATTCTCCTAGGGAAAATACAAGCCTAGGTTCCTGTGAGGCTCTGGTTACAACATTTTCATCAACTGATCAATACATAACCTTGTCTTATGTGTGTTTCTATTTAAAAGATACCTTATTTAATATATACTGTTGATTAATTCACAATGAATTCACAGCCAACAGCACTATAACTTACATTTGAATGAAGCTTATCTAACATATGTATTTTCTCTGTAAGGCAAATGACAACCTTCTTACGCTTACAAACACTAGAGAGCACTTCAGCACTATGGCTGGGGACCATTTTAACCAGCAAAATCACTAACAAAAAGCAAAAAAATGCAAAAGCATGGAACTAAACCCATTGCCATAGAGTCAATTCCAACTCATAGTGACCCTACAGGACAGAGTAGAACTGCCCCAAAGGGTTTCCAAGGGACCTGGCGGATTGAACTGCTGACCTTTTGGTTTGCAGCTGTAGCTCTTAGCCACTATGCCACTAGGGTTTCCATGGAACTAAACAGACCACAAAAAGGACACAGCTACAGAATGAGAGGTGAAATAAGAAGACTAAGGATGACCTTGCTTGACCTTAGCTGGGAATCTGCATATCAGGTGACTCATATTTTTCACCCCTCTGCACATGTCCTTGGATGACCACAAAAGCACCACAAATATTGATTTTGGGTTTACAAATAAATTTTAGGGAGTAGGCAAATTCAAAAATATGAAAAGTGAGAATTAACTGCATATTTAACTCCCATACTAGATTCTGAATTCTTCAAAAGCAACGACCATGTGTTACTAGTCTTTAAAAGCCACAAGCTAGCAGAGTGCCTGGACACAAGAGGATCAGTGTAATGTTAGATTGTTGTTGTTATGTGCCGTTGACTCACAGCAACCCTATATGATAGAGTAGAACTGCTCCGTAGGGTTTCCTAGGCTGCAATCTTTACTGAAGCAGATCGCCAGGTCTTTTCTCCCATGGAGTGGCTGGTGGGTTCGAACCACCGATCTTTCGGTTAGCAGCCGAGCGCTTAACTATTGCACCAGGGCCCCATAATGTTTGATTTTAGTTACCTAGTTATCTAATAATGAAGAATCATAGCCCCATAGTTAAACTGTAGATAAAACTGTTCTTGTGAACTAATTCAGTCATATATGTTTAATTTTGAAATTTCCTTACCCTGTAAAAAAAATTAACTGTATATATAAACTACTTTTGTAAGCTACACTGCAAGACCTAAGATGAAAAATATGCTCTAATTCTAAGGTACAAATGTGTTTGGGGAAAAGCTGGCTTTATTTTCATTTCCTTCAGTAGGTTTTTGATAAATTATGATATTATATTTCTTCTGTCATAAAACGCTAGGTAAAAATGGTTGAAAATTTCTATTAAATTCACCATAATGAATATATGCATAATGAATTCTAAGTACAGTTTGTTGATATTTGTTTTTCTAATACATCCTTTTTATCATGGAAATTTACTCTAAAAATTAATTTTCAGGAAAGTTAACTTAAAGGCAAGTTAGAGCCTTTTCGCCTGCTGGCATTAGGGTGGACTGTCTCTCTTCATCAAGGTATGAGTCTGATGCAGGGGGAGAGAATAAGGAAGGTCAAAAAGAATACAACCAGGCATCAGGAAGTAAGCCCTCAAAGGCATCTCAGTAACCAATGCAGATATCACAAAATGCACCTACTAAAGCTGGGATGTGAGTGTCCTTCATCAGGGATTAAGTCTGTTTATCATTAAATCTCAAGCACCTGGAACAGGCCTGACATATAGTTGGCCCTCACTAAACGTATGCGGAAGGAAGGAGTGAGGGAGGGAGGGAGGGAGGTTGGTTTGAGGGTATGAGAAAGATATACAAGGTATTCATTAAGTCTTTACGGAGTTTTTAAACTTCTAACTTTTAAATTTTAATAATTTAGACTATATATGTGATAGAAATATACTGAATGATCTTTTTCACAGTTGATACTGATTGTAATTCTCCCAAACAGGTACCCTAGCTAACATTTTTTGCTTTATAACCACTTTTAGTTTCTTAGGACCTGAAATATGAATTAAGTATATTATAACTCTGTGATGTGGCTTTTCTGTGAATTTGCCTTGATATCATATCAGGTCTTCTCATAAGTTACCGAGGTTGAAAAATGACCTACAGGGAGACTCCGTATTATTTTCCTCAGTCCCTCACCTCAGCAGCTGCCTCTGACAAAGGTACCCAGTGAAAAGTGATAGCCTCAAATCAGAAACTTAATAAAGCAGCACTTGGCCAAGCTTTGCCCTTTCATCTTCATCCCCAGGCCAGTAATCTTCAGTGAAAGTTTTAAATCTTAAAGCGATTTACCAGGAGTATGTACTTTGTTTTGTTTGAGTCCATGGAGCTGTACTAACTTCTCCGCCACGATAAATATGGGCCTTTGAATTAGAAGAAATTTGTTGTTTCCCACCTCAAGCTTTTGTCTTGTGAAAGTGAAAATTCCAAGTCCTGGAATCTGAACCCCCTGAAAGGAAAAAGAGGAGGAAAAAAAAATAACAGAGTTCACTGAAGGGGTGAAGAAAAATGATCCTTTGCATAATTATCCAAAGAATGTGATGAGAATTAGGCTTAGGTCTTCAAAATTCAATGATCTCTATGATCCCTTAAAGCTATAACATTTTATGATTCTAAGCTTTTGATAAATTTAGTATACAATGTAATGCATCAGAAAATACCAACCCACAATGCTCATGTCATTAGAAGGCTATAGAGAAATAAGAAAACTTATAGGGATGCCATAGCTTCTCTTAATCTATATCTGTATCTTAGGTTTACTATTAGAGGGAGAGAATTTAAAAGGGCATGAGACTCTTTGCTTTCTTGTTCCTTCTTTTAGATTGTATGTCTCTGACTTACAATCAGGCGCCCCAGCATCCCAGGCATATGCTACAGTGTGGTGGTCTTGGCTAATGAGTAGAAGCAAATGCTTTTGGCTCTCACATTGGTTCTCCATCTCCCTGGAGACATTCTACATCAAGGGTTACAAACTCAAATGCCTACAGGGGCCAAAAAAGAATAGAAGGGAGTGAGACAGCCCATAGACGAATGTAATGGCTAGAGGGTACATGCCCCATCTACAAGGGAGAGCCTACTGTCAGCTCCAGTTACGTGTCACCACACAGGAATGGAAGACCAGTCTTGTTAGATCTGCTGATTCTTCAAGAAAAGGCAGAAAAAATCCGAAATTTTATACAAAAACGTTCCCAATTTTAAGTGGTAAATACTAATTCAAATTCTCAGGCCAAACAAAACAAGTTTGGAGGATGAATTCCACCCAAGGGCTATCATATTGGGTCCTCTGGTAGGGTATAAAAGTTCCACAAACTCCCAGCTTCCTCCAGTCTCCTCCCAAACTCTCTCTCTAGTTCTATGGCATCGCAACCCAAAACTTGACAGGAGGAAATAGGTCATCCTGGACTTGTTTCCCATTTTTGACAGGTTGAGTTTAGTCCCTGACTGTCTTCTTATATTCCAATTAAAATCCATTCCCTGCAATGAAACAAGACAAGGAGCATTATATCCTTCTAGAGCCATACCTGAAACTATCCGACTGCAGATAAACAGAACTCCTCTAGTTCCTCTATATATACTCAGGCTGATCAACACTACTTTCCATGTCACTAGAAGAATAAAACTTACAAATTCATTACTTAACTCTTTCATGCTCGGCAGTACATATAGCAACCATGAAGTTTTTCAGCCTCTGGGGTTTATTGGGAAGCTGGTACACTACTGACAGTGCATGCTGCTGCAAGGCAGGGGCCTTTATGATAGTTTGAAGCCAAAGAAACAGGCATGTGCTACAAACTACTGAGGTGTCCGAATTTTTGGTAGGAAAAATAGAAATTTTGAAAATATTTATTTGTTACACATATGTACCAATAGACCTCAGTGGGGACAGTGGGGTATAACTAGTGGTACTTCATATATACCACTAAACACTTAGGGTAGGCTTGTGGGAGGGGGCAAGAAAAAAAATCCACAGTACCTACCAAAAATTCAGACACACTCAATGATTCAGCATGCTTCCATTAATGAAAACACATGGTATCAACAAAAAATTCAAAGCAGAAAATATTTGGGTCACCAAAGGATTACAGATAAAATCTGTGTTTGTTAAATCTGCTATCCCTAAGTCCTAAGTGTGAGCATCATAAAATCACAGGGCTGAAAGTTAAACTGGATGGCTCTGAAGTCTATTTTCTGCTCCCAGCAAAACTATACAAGACTATGGAAGAAATATCCTTTGGATTCCTACACTAAAATTAAAGTATAATCCTACCTTGTGCAGAGTTAACTGCCGTTCCACAAATTCTGCCACATTCCCCCAAATCATAGAGACTTCTGAAATTCAAAGAAAACCAAAAATAATTTAATTTATATAAGCACCTATGTGATATATTAGGTTCTAATAAATAAAAACGTAAATATGAAATGCAGACTTAAATGACAGTAATTTCCACTGTAAAATAAATACTGTTATCTAGTATAAACAGAGTTTAAAACATGGTTTAAAATCAGGAAAGTGTGCATCAGGGTTGTATCACTTCACCATACCTATTCAATCTGTGTGCTGAGCAAATAATCCAAGAAGCTGGACTTTATGACGAAGAATGCAGCATCAGGATTGGAGGAAAATTAATTAACAACCTGCGATTTGCAGATAATACAACCTTGCTTGCTGAAAGTGAAGAGTACTTGAAGTACTTACTGATGAAAATCAAAGACTACAGCCTTCAGTATGTATTATACCTCAACATAAAGAAAACAAAAATCCTCACAACTGGACCAATAAGCAACATCATGATAAACAAAGAAAAGATTGAAGTTGTCAAGGATTTCATTTTACTTGGATCCACAGTTAACACCCACGGAAGCAGCAGTCAAGAAATCAAACGATGTACTGCATTGGGCAAATCTGCTGCAAAAGACCTCTTTAAAAAGCAAAGATGTCACCTTGAAGACTAAAATGTGCCTGACCCAAGCCACGGTATTTTCAATAGCCTCATATGCATGCGAACGTTGGACAATAAATAAGGAAGACCAAAGGAGAATTGATGCCTTTGAATTATAGTGTTGGTGGAGAATACTGAATATACCATGAACTGCCAGAACAAACAAATTTGTCTTAGAAGAAGTACTGCCAGAACATTTCTTAGAAACGAGGACAGTAAGACTTTGTCTCACATACTTTGGACATGTTATCAGGAGGGACCAGTCCCTGGAGAAAGACATCATTCTTGGTAAAGTAGAGGGACAGTGAAAAAGAAGAGGACACTCAACGAGATGGACTGACACAGTGGATGCCACAAAGCACCCCAACATAGCAATGATTGTGAGGATGGCGCAGGACAGAGCAGTGTTTCATTCTATTGAACACAGGGTTGCTATGAATCAGAACTGATTTGAAGGCACCTAACAACAACAGTATAAACAGAAAATAAAGTCATTCTCAAAAGTTAATTTTCCTGGAAACTGAAGCTTACCTCTTTATGTTCCAAAGATGTTACTAAAAATAGTAAAAATTAAAAATAGATTAATACTGTTTTCAAAGGAAATATTTTTAAAAATATATTACATTTCTCTTTAGTCTGTAAACAGAGAAAAACAATATAATCTAGTCTCTTCTTAATCACTCATTCAGCAAGCATTTATTGTCTACTCTGTGCCACGTAATTAACATTCACTACTGTAACAATGGCATGAAGACGGCATGTGACCTCCTTTAACTTCACAAGAGAAAGAGAATCGAGATCAACAGCCCAAGGCTGATTCCAATGAGGCAGAAGTCAGACATGCCTCCTCTCTCCACCATCTTTTCCAATTCTGACACCAACCATCCCTGCCTTGGCACTCTCTACTTCTCTGCTGGGTTCGATAATTCATTGTAATGGTCACACAGAACTCAGACAATACTCACAATTATGGGGCCTATTAGGGAAGTAACAGGTTACAATTCAGGCTCAGGAACACACAGGATACAGTTCTTCCATCAGGACAGCGTCTTTTCAGTTGTGCTCACAGGCACATCTCTCTCTGGCCCTAGGCCTCTGCCCTACTCAGGCAAGTGTTACAAAGCTCTTTTAGCCCCTGCCAATAAGTCCCCGGAGGCACCCCAGGCACTCAGCTTTCTTGCCTCATGGGCCAGAAAGCCCACTGTGAGGTCTCCTGCTGGTGTCTCCTGCCACTGCTTCTTGAGCTCGAGCTCTCTCTGTCTCCTGGTTCCAGGAGCTTCTCAGTGCAGGGATCCTGGGCCCAAAGGATGCGCTCTCCATTCCTGTCTATTCTTCCTTGGTGGTGGTGGGATTTTCTCTCTCCTGCCTCTGAGATGGCTCCTTTTAAGCCCAGTGGGATGGCAATACTGACCAATCCCCTTGCAATCCCTATCTGCACAGTCCTGCCCAATCACCTGGGTGGGAGCTACAAGACCATGGCGAGAAAGGCCACACAAAAGTGATTCATTGCACCACACTATTTTACCATACTATAACACAGGTAAGAGCCCTGGTGGCACAGTGGTTAAGAGTTGGGCTGCCAACCAAAAGGTCAGTAGTTCGAATTCACCAGCTGCTCCTTGGAAACCCTATGGGGGCAGCTCTACTCTGTCCTATAGGGTTGATATGAGTAGGAATCGACTTGACGGCAACGGGTTTGGGTTTTTGGTTTATAACACAGGAATAAGGCCAAGGGCCTTTGAGGTGTGAAAAGATTGTTTGTCTATACATTAAATGGCCCCACACTTCTCTTTTTGCTAAATTCTTGAAACTGCTTCTCATTCTCATTTTTCACTGTTAAACAATCTGCTATCACTCTTGTCCTCTGTTAATTCTCTGCAGTCTCCCCTCATTCCTAATTCACTGTTTCTGATCTGATATGTTCTTGATATCATAAATGTACTAATATTATATTTAAAATAATGAATTTTTAAAACATACCCTTGGGTTTATTTTGAATTAGTGTATCAACTTTTCACTGTCTACTTTGACCAATCAGAGGTTTTCTGTGTTTATCTCCTTGTTCTGAGCTATGTTCCAAAAAACTGCGGCAGCAGAATAAGTAGCTGCCGTTAACCAAAATGTTAATGTGTGATATGAACGTATACTGTAGGTGTGACTAATATTTTTAAACACAGAAAATTATGCCTGTGTTGACATCTCTGTCCTCAAACTAATTGTGTGTTACTGAAGATGTTCTCCAACTAGGAGTGCTTTACAAATTAAAAGATTGTTGAATTTTAATTTTCAAAATAAAAGATCAACAACAGTGATGTTTACCAGATTGCCACTTTAGGACACAGATGCAGTCAGTGACAAAAGATCAATGTGTCCCTCACTTTGGAAACTGCTGGCTTAACTGGTATAACTTCTTTTTCTAACGGATTAAATCACTAACTAAATCAGGGGCTTGCAATCTTTTAGTTACGGTATATAAAAACGAAACCAAACCCAGTGTGGTCAAGTTGATTCTGACTCATAGCGACACTACAGGACAAAGTAGAACTGCCTTACAGGGTTTCCAATGAGCAGCTGGTAGCTCTGAACTGCTGACGTTTTGGTTAGCAGCTGAACTCTTAACCACTGTGCCATCAGGGCTCCATGGTATATAAGAATCATAAATACGTTTATTAATATGCTGGGGAAGGGGCAGTTTTGGCAGATGAGAAGTAGCAGTGGCTCTCACCAGCATCTGGAAACAAGTTTGGTGATGGAAACTCATTCACCCACCATAAGCATGAGTGCCCAGATCCTGCCCTTCACTCTATAAATCATGGTGTACAGTTTACTACAGTCAGGTGTTTCCCCTACTTTGCCTCATCTTACTGCATTCTCCACTGCCTCCCCCACCCCCACAGCCAAAAGAATTATACTGCTGCTAAGAACTAAGAAGGTCTTTCAACAAATCTCACTTGTATATTGAACTAAAAATTTTCAGCATGACCAAGGGTCATTAATTTACTAATAATTCAGAATCTCAATACCCACATTTACATGGGCACTTTTCAAAGAGTTTTAAGTAAAGACTGTTAAGTTTGTATGACTCCAAGTCTTTCACCTAGACTTATGATATGCAGCTCAGATTTCACGAAAAAAATCTGCCCCAAAGAGGAAATGATTTAATTAGTGCCAGGAGAAACTGTATAGCTTGTAACCAAATCCTAGTGAAAAGACTTGACTGAGCTTAATTGTAAATTTGAGAATCATCTTTCTTCATTTGGATGATACGCTCAAGCACATGGTGTTGTTTTGTTCTACAAAATCTGATCAATTAATTATTATTAATTAATGATTATTCCAAACTGAAATTTGCTATTTCTCACTGAAGAAAAAGAAAAGCAGGCATATAATTCCCCTTAGGAAACTTTAGAGCCCTGAATTCAATTGGAAAAGATTTGGGCATTTTACACATTTTGATTTCTAATTTTGATTAGTCTGGCATCCCAAAGTGTCAGAGAGATAACTCTGGTTTCTCTTCATATCACATAAATCTTTTGCCTTTTACCAAAGCATAAAAGAGAGGCTATTCTACCTTTCAAAATAAAAATAATTTTAACCAGCTGCCATCGAGTTGACTCCGACTCATGCCGACCTCTTTGCGTCAGAGTAGAACTGTGTTCCATAGGATTTTCAATGGCTGACTTTTCGTAAGTAAATCACTAGGCTTTTTTCGAAGGCACCTCTGGATGGACTCAAACCTCCAACCTTTCAGTTAGCAGCCGAGCATGTTAACCATTTGCACCACCCAGGGACTCCAAAAATAAATTTAATCTACTCTAAAAAAAAAACAAATCAAAGTTTATGCTGTTTTCATATTTTAATGAAAGCTGAGGTTACTTATTTATTGTTTGTTTATTCATCTATCCACTCATTCATTCATTCATTTATTTACCAAACACCAAAACATCAAGAACCACTATTATAAAGAAATAATCCCGGGACATACCTTCTATATTCAGTACAAATTCCATTTGATTTCATATTCTAAACATTTGCTACACTGAAAACCATATTTTGAAACACAATGCCAAGTAGCAGGAATACAGTATCTTATATATGATCATTATAATGAAGAACTAAGGTGGTTCAGTAGTTAAGAGATTGTCTGCTAACCAAAAGGTCAGCAGTTTGAATCCACCAACTCCTCCTTGGAAACCCGATGCGGCAGTTCTACCCTGTCCTATAGGGTTGCTATGAGTAAGAAGTGACTCAACAGCAATGGGTTGATATCGTTTGGTAAGTGCTCGTTATACAAATTATAGAATAAATATGCTTAAAATAGACATTGATATAAAAAATAAAAGGTTCTCTGCTTTTATGAAACATATTTTCTAAAACTATAACACTGATATACCAGCAGAGCAGAATATTAAGGGTGATTTGAACAAAGAAACATATTCCCAGAGTACAATATAATAAAAAGAGCAGTGTGCTGCATGTCGGAAGACCTGTGGCCCCCTGCCTCTAAGAATTATTAGCTACATAGCCTTCTACGGGTTACTCAGTTCCCGTTTATAAAAAGATGATGGACTTTCTAAGCACTATAATTGCATAATATTAAACTTTGGTAAAACATAAGAAAGCATCAGGACTTAACATATACAATGATGAAGAATTAATGTATGTGTTTTGCTGAGGTTTGGAGTTTATCCTTATCCCTTTTACAATGGGTCATTTGTGAGAGCTGATAAAATAGTAATTTGGATTCTGCTTCTGTCACTCAACCAATAAAGCTCTTGCCAAAGTCACCAATGATTTCCTTGTCAATAAATTCAATGGGCACATTTAGTTCTCATCTCTTCTGACCCCTCAGTCATATCTGACACTATGCACCACTCCCTTCTCTCTTAAACACCTCTTCTTTTGGCTTTTAGGACACTATTCTCCTAGATTATCGTCCTACCTCTCTGGTCATTTCTTCTCAGTCTCCTTCTCAGGCTTATCCTCCTCAGCCCAGTCATTAGATGTTGGAGTTCTTCAATGAGTTCTAGGATACCTTCTGTTTTAACTCTACACTCTCTGTTAGGCAGTCACATTCATGCCCAGAGCTTTAATTATCACCTATATGCAGCTGACTCTCAAATGTTTATTTACAAGCCCAGACTTCCCCTTTGAGGTTCTGAACCTGTGTATCCAACTGCCTACTTGGATATCTCACAAACGCTTTTCAACTTGTCTAAAACCAGGATCTACCATCCTTTAATTCTTGTCCTTTATCCAGGGTTTCTCTCTCAATGAATGGTATATCATCATCCATTCAATTATATAAGCCAGGAACTTAGGAGTCATCCTTGAGATTTCTCTTCTCCCTCACCCCTTCCCGCTGCCCCATATCCAGTCCATCACCATAATCTGTGGATTTTATTCCAAATAGCCCTTCAGTCTGTCCATTTCTCCCCATTTCTACTGCTACAAATTTAGACCAATAAAGCCTTAATATAACTTAAAAGGCTTTGCACAACCTGACCCCTCCCTTTTCTCCTGCCTCATTTAGACCCTCCCAGTAACTACAGAGCAGCGGCCTTCTTTCAATTTCTCAATCATACCATGCTCCCTCCCACCACAGAACTTCTGCACTTGCCATTTCCTCTGCCAAGAACACTCTCACCTCCTCACCATACCCCGCCTTTTTTCCATTTCACCTACTAAACTGGAATTCCATTCTTCACATCTCAGCTCAACTCATCCCTTCTTCAGCCAATCTTGACAAACATACCTATCCTCAACCCCTATTAAATGTTGTCAGGGAAAAGGGACAGTCATAACAGGGCACTGAGTTTCTGTTAAGAGTGGTGGAGCAGTTTGGAAACAGCTAGTGGTGATAGATGCACAACATGATGAAAAAAAAAACACATGGGAAAAAAAAGTTGCAGGAAAGGGGGAGCCATCGCTTAGGGGCACTGAGTTTCTGTTAAGGGTGATGGAAAAATTTGGAAATGGATAGTGATGATGGTTGTACAACATGAACCTAATTAATGTCACTGAATTGTACACATAAAAAATGTTGAAATGGCAAATATTTTGTTTTTTTTTTAATCACAGTTTTTAAAAAGTTTCCATTGTACCATATACCTCCTCCTTGGTAGCACTTACCACAAATATAATTTTACATTTATTTGTGTGATCATTTGATTAATGTGTATATTCCTCCACTAGATTGTAAATCTCAAGGATTTTCTCACCATCAGTTCTCTAGTCCCTAGCACATAGCAGGTTCTCAGTATTATTTTAATGAATAAATTATTTATAAATACAGCAATTATTTTTTAATCCATACAACTATTATGTTTAGTGCTTCTTTCAGAATTATTTTGAAAAGGAAAAAATAAAAGTAATGCTGGGAAAGGAAAAGAAGAGGCATTCACTTCTACTTATTTTGCCTTCTAAAATCATTTGGTGAAAGCCTAAATTACAACGGCTTAGTAAGAATAATAGCTTCCATTTCTTGAGCACTTTCCTTCCCAAGGATTCTACAGCTTGCAGGCAGACCTCAGCATCACTTTGGGGTGATTCTTTTAAGAAGCTATGCTAAAACAGACTGAGGGTCTTACTAGGAACCAGGCCTAGCAAGTTTTCTATGACAAGCTACCAGGTCCTTTTCCAAACACTTCCAAACAGTATCTTTTTATGATCATCTCACTCTTAACACAACCACAAGATGTCATGGTCAGAAAAGCAGCCATGTCTTTACATGAACTCTGAGAAGGAGCTATATGGGGTTCCTGTAAAACAGCTTTTCTTTGGGGCTGTTTCTCTGGATAGGCACAAGGGTTTCTGATCCATCCCCGTGGGAAGGAGGGGGCTAGCTATCATTTATTGAGCTGCAATTTGTTCTAGTCCCTGAGCTAAATCCTGAACATGCACTATCTCATTTAATCAAAACCTTCAACTGGCCCCTTTCCCTCATTAAAGCAGCCAATAAAGAAACCGTCCCTCTAAGGGCATTCAACGTGGGCCTGGAGTAATTACTAGCTGGTTGTCAAGGCAGCCACTCCAGGCCAGTCCTGAGCCAGGGAATATGGAAGCAGGACTTCTGCCTCACCTCCCAAGCAGGTGAAGTTTCAGACCACGGTTCCCCGCAGCCCCAGTCCCAGGGGCCCCCAACCCATGTCGCTTACCCTCTTGGGTCAGCGAGGGCAGCGTGGGCAGCATCTGCCTGCCCAGCTCCTGCAGGGCGGGGTCGATATTGTCCAACATCTCCAGTCCCCAATGGGCTCCAGCAGCTGCTAGGCTCCGCGACTACCGGCCTCTGTACTGGGTCCTCGATGGGTGTCTTTTCTTCCTTCCTTATATGAAATTGGTACAAAAGTGATTTTCCCTCCCTCCAGGTCCCTCTCCCCGTTAGCTTTGCGTGTGCCTTAAAAATAAAAATTACAAAAGTCTTGATTTCTTTCTTAAATAAATGTTCTTTCTCGCCCTCCCTCCACCCTGCTCTGGCTCTTGGACGGCTCCCGCCAATATAGTTGTCCTGATAGCGGCCCGGCCTCTGAGTCAGAGGGTGCAAGTGCAGCCCCTCCAGACCTGGCAGAGGCCCCGCGGGTCAAGTGGAAGCAGGGTGGGCGGGAGATACCAAGAGGGGAGGAGGGCAAAGGGAAAGTAGGCCCAGCCGAGGAGGCGGTGGGACGCGTTGCTGTGACGCAACAAACGCTCGCCCTGTTGCTAGGGCGTAAATGTAGGGACTAGGCCCCGCCCCCAAGAATGATGGATCTGGCCCCAGGCTGATCTGGTGGTTGGGAGCTGGAAGCAAAGGTTGGGAAGTAGTTTTTATTGTTGTTATTTTCTTTCTGCTCACATCCTGGGCGGCGAAGGGACTTGGTGGTTAGGTTGGACCCTTCTGTAATCAATTTGGATAAATCTGGGAATGACTTTTGCCCAGAATGGTGGACAGTTGAGTTTCCGGATCTGAGGATTTGAGTTTGAACTGTAATTTGTTTCTTGGTTTTGGTTTTACCTGGGCTCCCCGCCTAAGAAATGTAAGGCTGGAGGACTGATGAGGAGGGGATCGACTTTTTTTAAATTACTGTTTTTTGTTTTCTTTCTTTCCCTATACACTTTACTCATCTCGCTGTTCGGAATTGTGTTCGTGCTCTCCCCTCTACCGATAATGAATTAACACAAATTGAACACCCATATAAACCCTACCCAAGTCAAGATATAGACTCTACCAGTACTACAGAAGAACATCTCATTACCCCTTCGTCACCGTCATTATCCCTCCAAATGTTGTAGATCAGTTTTGCCTGTTTCTGAACTTTTGGAATCAAATAGTATGTATTCTTTTATGTCAGGCTTCGGTCACTCAATATTATGTTTGTGAGATTGATCCACGGTTTGTGTAGTAGCAATTTCTCCATTTTCGTTGTTGTATGCTATTCCTTTATTTTTCCATTCCACTGTTGAGGGGATTTGAGTTGTTTCCAGTTTGGGGCTATTAGGAATAACGTTGCTTTGAACATTCCAGTACAAACTTTTGATGTACATATGTACTCATCTCTGTTGTGTATGTGAGAAGTGGATTCCTGGGTTATGGCAAATGCGTATGGTCAATTTTAACGGATAATGCCCAACAGATTCCCAAAGTGGATGTCACAGTGATGGCAGGTGGGAGGAACTTCTGGCACATAGTGTGGACGGAGACCAGGGATGCTAGATAGCCTGCAATGTGCAGGACATTCCTGCACAATGAAGAATTGTTCCACACTCTGCACCTTCTTTGAATATACCATCAGACTTTCATATAAGGGGGGGGAAACTGCTTATGAGCCTAGAAAAAAAATCCCATTTTCATGTAAATGCAAAAGTGTTTTTTGCTTAATTTTAACATCACTTAATTTTCCAGGAATTCAAAATCCAAGTAAATTTGGAGAAGATTCTGCTGTTTGTTTTTTTTTTGGTCAGGATTTAAGAATTGCTCTTCATCATTTTGGAAAACTGTATCATTACCATCAACAAGGCTGGTGGTTGCTGAGTAATCAACACTCCTGAATTAGTCTGCATTGGCAGCTACATTCACAGTGAGTCTTCCTATAGGTGAAAGCTTGTTGTAACTTTATTATTTCTTCTAGTAGTCATGCCTGAACATATACATGTTGAAATATGTATTATTTTGTACATTACTTACCTTTTATTTATCCATTATACTAAAGGTATGGCTTTACATTAATGTTTAAATTAATGGGTATGGGTACATAAATTATATTACCAATAAACTTCATTTCAGGATACTAACAAGACATTACAAAATATTTATTTAAAAGAATCAGCTGGAACAACTAGATAGCCACATGCAAAATAATAAAATTGGACTCCTACCTCACACCATTCACAAAGATTAACTCAAAATGGATCAAAGACCTAAATGTAAGAGTTAAAACTATAAAACTCTTAGAAAAGAACATAGGTATAAATCTGTGTAACCTTGGATTAGTAATGATCTCTTAGATATGACATCAAAAGCACAAGCAAGTGAAGAAAAATAGATAAATTGCACTTCATCAAAATTTAAAACTTTGTAAATGAAGAGCGTGCAAAGACACCTCAGACAACTGGAGAAAGTATTTGCAAATCATATTTGATTTGTACCTAGTGGTATTTGGTGTCGTATCTAGTGTATTTAGCCTAGTGTCTAGAATATATAAAGAACACTTACAACTCAATGATAAAAGACTTATAACCCAATTTAAAAAACACGCAAAGGATTTCTCTAAACAAGATATACAAATGGCCAATAAGCACATGAAAAGATTAAATATCGTTGATCATTAGGAAAATGGAAATCAAAACTACAATAAGGTATCACCTCACACCCACTAGAATGGCTATAATCAAAAAGACAATAACAAGTATTGTCAAGGATGTGGAAAAACTGGAACCTTCATACATTACTGGTGGGAATATAAAATGGTTTCGTAAGCTTTGTGGCAAAAGGCACCAGCTCATCCTGTAGGTCACTCATATCACTGAGGTTAGATGTACTGAGAGGCAGACACAAGTTTGTCTTCACAGGTCCTAGTTGGTCCCTGTGGATTCCAGTTTTTACTTACTTTTCCCGCATTTCATGGCCATATTTCTTTCCTGACTGCTGACCCTGCTGACCTTAGGCCCAACACCAGAGATGGACTGCTTAACCAGCTCCTACAATTATGTGAAGGCTAATGCCTATAATAAATCCCTTATTCTCTATCACTCAGAGCGGTTTTGCTTCTCTTATTGAACCCTAACTGATATAGGACTGGTGGTTAAAACTCAGGTATTTAAATTTACTCGTTCAGCTTTACTTAGACTTGAATTCACATAAATTAAGTGCCTGTGCACCAAAACTCCACTGTAAAGATATATAAAGTGTCATGTTAGAAGTATGAAGACTGTAATGGAGTACAGGGGAGCAAGATTACTTCTAACCGGAATGGTTCTTGAAGGAAGGTGGTATTTGAGCCCAGCCTTGGATGTATAGGTAGTATTTCAACAAGGAGAGATTGGGGAAGGCCATTTCAAGCAGATTAAAGTCAGGGAACAGCAAATAATCTGGTGTAGTTCTTCTGTTTGGGACAAGGCCAGATTACAAAAGGTCTTGAATGCTAAACACAGGGTTCTAGACTTTATTTGGAAAGTATGGGTGCTTCCTAAATTTCTTGGAATAAGACAATGACCTAATCACTCACAAACCGTTATATTCTTTAGTACTGCATTAAAGTGAAATTTGTATTTTAATAGATATTACAAGGAAGCTATATGTCAGATGGCAACTAATCAGAGAATTTCTGAGAGACCTGGGCAGCAGCAACCAAATAACTAAAAAGATAAGTGGTAGTCATGGGAAGGCTGACCACAGGATGATTTATGTGGTTGAGTGACAGCTGTTTATAAATTTTTGACCAATGAAACTGCAAAGATGCATTAATTTTCTTGCAATATAGTTGAACAAAGATAAATTACTTAATGTGACAAATGAGATTACCTTGAGACTAAGCTACAGAATGATCTCCCAAAGAAGAAATATAGAAAAACTCATCAAGTCAGACTGTTTAAAAATAGACCATTTTAAATAATAAAAGCACACTATCACCATTCTGCCTGGACTCTGCAGGATAAAAGTTATATAATAGCACTTCCCCATGTTTAATAGAGATGGCCTGTATGAATAATCAATAAATGTAATTACATTATTTATGAATAGAAGTGAAAGCTAACATTTAAGACTGACTCATCTGACCTGCTCCTCTAAAAAACATTTTGTACCTTTCTTTCATTTCACATAAGCTTAAGTAAGGAATTTGGCATTTGAAGACATGATACTTCAAGCCTGTTATTAGCATAAGTAATTTGTGACTGAAGAAAATATTAATGTTTCTGAGCCTCAATTTTTCATTGATAAAATAAAAATAATGATGATGAAAACTAATAGAGAAAATCCCAGTATATCTAAAGAAACAATAGGGGAAAATTAAAAACAAGAAGAATTTTTTTGGCTTCCAAAAATTTTAAACCTGCAGTTACTTGCCCCACTTCACCGTAAGATTATACTACCCTGCAGAGGCAAAACAAAATGTGCATTCTAGAGACAAAGGAATGCTTTTCAACCATTTTTTTAAATGAGGACTACTGATGAATAAACTGATTCTCTGAAAAGAATTGAAATGTAAGTCATTTTAGGCATCGTGTGATGAGTTGGTCAGTAAACTCACCTCACACAACACACAAAAATTAACTTAAAAGGGATCACATACGTAAATCTAAAAGTAAAACATATAAAACTTCTAGATTAAAACGTAAGACAAAAATCTTGGTGATCTTGTGGTTAAGCAAAAATTTCTTAGGACACAAAAATCATGAATCATAAAAGTTAAAAACTTGATAATTTGGACTTAATAAAAATTAAAAATGTTTGCTCTTCAAAAGATACCATTAAGAAATGAAAAGGAAGCCACAGAACACAGAAAATATTCACAATACATATGTTTAACAACTGCTATAGAGAATATATATTTTTTAATCCCCTAAAACTCAAAAATAAGAATGCTCAATTTTAAAAAATGGGCAAAATATTTGAACATACATTTTATAAAAGCAGATATTCAAATGGCCAAGGAGCACATGAAACGATTCCCCACAATACTGGTCATTCAGGAAACACATATGGAAACCACAAAGAGATACCACTACAACATTAGGACAGCTACAATTAAAAAGACTGATAA